GGCGAATGGGCTGGCCCTGGGGGCGGGCGGACACCAGAAAAGTGCCCAGAAGAAAGATGCCGCCTTCTGTGACCCTGTTCTGTTACCGTGTGGGGTCAGTCACAGGTGTGGGAGGGGACTCGGGTTCTAGGGCAGAAATGATGATTTATTTATTTTTTTCAGAACCACTTGAATCAAACAGGACCCTAGTTATTAAATAGTATCCCATTGTCTGGTGTGGGTTGGAAGGATACTGAGGAGGGGGAGAGCGCAGAAAGACACCACCAGAGTGTGCGTGGCTTTATTCTGCGGGTGAAAAGGTCATTAGCTGTAATAATAATTAAACTGGGGAGAGGTTAAAGGTGACTGACTGGTTAGCGGTGAAGGCACGCTAGCTGGTGTCACCCAGGCGCTGCAGGAACCGCAATGTGGGGCTGCACTTACAGGAAGTGGCGAGGGTGGGGCCCGGGGCACAGGATCCCGCTATCTGTCGCCGCAGGCGCGAGGGCCCAATCACTGACACCCACACAGCCATTTCCTGCACTTGAAAAAAAAATCTGTTTCTCCCTTTGCAAATCAACAACTTTTACCTAGAAACTCTTCGGCGGTGAGTTCTGACTGATCTCGATCTCCGGTCCGTTGCAGAAAGCACACCGCTGTTTACCTGGGGGAGGTGTACCAGCGCTAATTCTAACTGACAGGTTTCGGCGGCTGCCGGAGCGGTCTGTTTTGCATCTGCCTAGAAGAAACCAAGTCTCTCTACCCAAACAGACACCTGCTTGTTACTGCATACCTTGATAGACCTTTCTAGAAAAGACCTCTGAACTCAGAGAACTCAGTGCCAACTCCAGAGCGCCATGCACATGCCCCAGAGGGTGATTCTCAAAGGTTCTCGAGCATCCGTTTTCTGGCCTGGGTCAGAGCAGATGGCCGGCCTGAGGGCTGCTCCAGTCACACGCCTCGGATGCCAGAACTCTTTCCCAGAGCACCCTGGTGAGGCTCCCGGTTGGCGGGACCCCCACCGTGACTGCACAGGCTGATGCTGTGTGCTGATCACATGTCAACTAATCTTTCATCAAACTTAAAGATGCAACCAAAACTCAACTCCCACAGGCTGTGAGCACTGCAGCCTCTGGGGCACAAAGGTTGGCACCCCCAAAGCCAGGAATTAACTCAGGCCCAAACATCCACCTTGTCCCACGTGAGTGACGACAGCTGAGCTTTGCCAGAGAGGACCCTGGAGCCCTCTTTGAAGTTCAACTACCCACGCTATTTTTTTTCAGCTGCAAAGATTTCTGCTAAACTGCCAACTCATGGGGGAAAAGGATCCCTTGAGAACTCCCTGTATGCATATGACGGCTTCGGGCCCAGCCTCTGTCTTTCCCCAGGGAAGGAGGACCCTGAGTCCTGGTCCCTGTACCCCAGGGCCGGGTTGGTGGGTACACACTGTGCTCATCACGATGCTCATCAACTGTGCAAGGCACTTATCAGAGAGGCCACACGCTAGGCCACAGCTGCGCCCGAGTTCAGGCGGGGAAACTGAGGCTCAGCAAGGTTAAGACACTTGCCCAGAGTCGGAAGCAGCCAGAACGTGAAACCAGTCTGATCGAGCATAATATTGGGATTCTAGCAGGACAGGGGACCCAGATGCCAGAGGGATGCGTCATCAGACTTGCCCGTCCTGACCTCACAGGTCGGCGCTGATGCCAGACACAAAGACTTGTAGGACTCTAGAAATCTCTGGGTCCCCTCCAGGCGAGCCTCAAGCAGGAGTGTGGTCAATCAGACCCATTTCCCATACAGAATGACAAAGGTGAGCCCACTCCTTCCTCATGGTTTCTGGAGTGTGGGTATGAAGCTGTGTGCGTAAGAAAAGCCACAATCACCCGGCAGGCTGCACTGTTTGCTCACCTACCTCCATGGAGGAGGGGGTCACGGCTCCGCCACCAAGGCCACCGGGCCTCGGGAGCAGGGAGCAGCCCCTCCCTGCTCGCCCTCCTAGGACCAACACCCCCACACGTCAGGGTGCCCTTGAGCATGACGACGCAGCACGTTCACGTGCTGGCCACACGGCCCCTCCAAGCAGCAAAGGGCTGCATCAGCAAGAAGCATAGAAAAGCACATTCCATGATGCCCTCACTCGCCAGCTGCTGACTGTTTTCTCACAAAGACAACAACCGCCACCCATGGACAGCCCCTTGGACGCTTCCCATCTTTAGGAGCCAAGAGAACGAGAGCTGAGCCTGACGCTTCCATAACAAACATTCCAAGCGGGATTTTCTCTGACTCTCATCTGCTGCCCTGTCTTGCTAATAAGCAGACAACAGCCGGGCGGCTCCAGTTGAAGAGGCCTTGCTCCCTGTGATGCAGACTGGGGAGAGGAGGGCCGTGCACACGGCTGGGCTCCAATCCGTCGATCGGGGAAGCAGCCTGGAGAGGACAAGCCCACGCCCCCCACCAACACCCACCCTGCTCAATGACACCTGCTGGGTCAGGCAGCCCTCGCAGGGGCATCGACACGGCCGGCAGTCTCCAGGTTGTTACAGGTTAGTATGAAATCACAGCACCACTGCAAGTGCTCTGACAGCACCCGCCACACAGTGTGTACCTACCACCCAGCAACGTGTACAACGCAGGGGTTTCCTGTTCAGCCACTGCTTCTAGGTAAGAGAATCAGATGAAAGACATTTAGGCCTCTATGCGGGCACGGTGTGGCCGCTCACGGGTTAAGCACTGCACACAGGCTGACTGCTGTCCAGAGCACCCGAAGCTCATGGCATGGTTCTCATTACAGCTGTCTAAGGGGGGTTGGGGAAGTGGGAGGCCTGGGCAGGGGTAGGGGTCACTGGGTGTAGGGCTGGCCCTGCTGCCCCCCCCTTGCTGCGTGACCTTGGGCATCCATGTGAACCTCCCTCACTTCCCTTTCCAGTTCTGCTAAGAGGGCATCATGGTGCCTGTCCGGTCTTGCAGGTCTTGCCAGAATCTGGCGGGCTAACAGTCGTGACCTTGCACCCTGAGGGTCGTGATGTGAAGAGATATTCGGGGCACCCGGCACCTTGCCAGCCTTGGCTCAGCAGGGGTGCAGCAGGCCAAAGCCATGATGAGCAAAGGCAGCCTGAGACCCCCGGGTTACACGCCCAGACTCCCCCAAACACGGACAGGACTCTGAAAAGCCTGAGCCCTGGGGCCAGCCCCCGGGAGCTGAGCTGCACCTCCAGCGGGCTCTGCTTTCCAAGTCCATGGCAACTAAAAGCAGAAGCCGAGGTGGGTGGGGAGGCTCACTGAGGGAGACACAAGGGAGGTGCCAGCCGAGGGTGACTTCAAAAGCACCCCCGCACTGGTTCAGGGAAGGGGAGGAGGCTGAGATGAATGTTTCCAAGAAACCCTGAGAACGGAGCTCGGCGCCTGCCGCGGCCAGCGAGGGCAGCAGCTCCTCCACGAGGCCCAGCAGATGCCGAGCTGAGCTGCCGGGCGGGGGTGTGCGTGTGTGCCTGTACTGTCACGTGCGCAGCGTGCATGCAGGCGCATGCAAGCACAGTGTGACAGCGTGTGCACGCACGCATGCAGCGTGTCACTGAGTGCACAGGTTTGCCATGGCTCCCGTCTTTCTGATTGAGAAGGCCCAACGCCATTCCATCAGGAGACCAGCCAGTGTCCCCCAAGGGTCACAGCCTCTCAGGTGTAAGCGGCCTCTCGCAGACACAGGGAATTCCTTCATAGTTTTTGCTCCCTCCCCCCCACTCCCCGCCCCGTTTCAGGGTAAATGCCTTTGAAGCATGGTTTACAGAAAATCTCATAAATTCACCCCGCCCACCGGGTGTGCTTTCTCTCGTGTCCCATCCACAAGGAGGCCAAAGTGGGCACTGCGGGCAGAGGGCCTGTCCTCCTGAGACAAAGCCCTGGCCAGCAGGTGACAGGAGGAGAGAGGGTGCGTTTTTAAACAGCTTCCCCTCTGTGCGGTTCTAGGGACAGGTGTAGGAAGGCTGGCCATCCTTGAACTGATGACCCTTTGTAACTAGTGACCTCAGGGGGCAGAGGGGGCGTCCACCCTTGCCCAGCCACAAGGCGGAGGCCCTGGGGCTGACTGCGGGGGTAGGGCATGCTCAGGTGGGAAGGAGAGAGTCAGCCCAACAGAAAGGACCAAGAGAGGAAGGCCGTGAATAGAAGGCATGACCGCAGGAGCACGTGGTCCTTCTATGACACTATAGTCTAGGGGCAGCACAGGAGATTCTGCTAGGGGACCAGAGCAGACCATGAAGGGGGAATAGACTAATGATTGGGAAACTGCAGTGAATCTCTCTGCCACTGGGAGCAACAGCTTCCTGCTTTTAACTCTGATAACCTGGCCTGCTGAACTATTGCCATCACCCAAGAGAGGTACCCTGCACGAGCTAACCAAATCCTGCGAGAAGCCAGCAACATCCCGTAACCAGGAGAAGGAAAGGCTGCAGGAAGCCCCCTGTTCGGAGCTGCCTGCCTAGATGCTGGGGCAGAAGCAGAGAGCAAGGGAGCCCCAAGCCATCTGGCTCCTCTCACATCAATCACGGCCAAGGAAGAACCCCCCACCCCTCCCCAAGTCCTAAACCAATCTGCAGTTGCAGGATGGGTGCAGTGGCTTCAGCCACTGCTTCTGCCAGCCCCCAGCCCTGGGCCCTCCATGAGCCAAACTGGAAAGAGCTCAGGAGGGGTGGGGAAGTCGGAGGGGCTACAACTACAGGCTGAGCCAGGGGCCACGCAGCAGCTCTGCCAAGTGCCCAGAGGATTCTTAGCCCCCGGCCTCTGAAGAACCCCCTGGAGCCCCACACAGAGCCCAGAGCCCAGGGGCCCACAGGACGCGGCGAGGGCAGGAGGGATCAGAGGCGCCACCAGGCACACAGGTGTGCAGAGCCACGTGACGGGTGGAGGGGAGCCCCTCTGGCTCCGAACACAGACCCTCTGGGCTGGTGTGCGGAGGGGCCCGCCATACCCCTGATGCCCGGCGACGGTGGGCAGGCGGCTGCGAGAGAAGGAAGCGTACTGACCGCTCGGCGGTTTAGGCCGCGGAGGAGCAGGTTTCTTCGGAGGCACAGCGGGAGTGTCCTGCTTACTTTTAAAGGGGTCATCTGAGAATCCTGTCCCTCCAAAGGAGGAGGTGAAAGGCCCAGAAGTTGAGGGCTGCAAGAGAGGACACGAAAAGAGAGGCAGAAACAATCGTTAACATGGAGGCAGGGACGCCCACCGAGCCCTCCAGGGTGTGCGGCAGGGCCCCCGCTCGGCCTGAGGGCTGCTCACCAGCCCCCTGCTTTCCTCCACCCTCAACAGACGGGGTCCTCTGGCCCACGAGGGGCAGCTGACAGACACACGGATCAGGCGAGAACACCCAGCGCCTGGATGGGCTTGTCATGCGGCAGGCATGCGGGGGGGAGTTGTTCCCTGCCACCTGCCTGGGGGTATCGGGGCTTCCTGCTCATACTTCAGAGACGTGTCCCACCCGCCTCCCTTCAGTCAGCATCAGGCACTCGGTCAGAGTGGCACCAGACCCTCTCTGTGCCACTGAGCTGCCGCCCAGGGACTCAAGCCCGAGCCCACCCCACGCATGTTGGCACAGCCACCGCTGCCTCCGATGCGCTCTTGTTGCCTCTGGCCTGGCCCGGCCCCTCCACCAGCTTCCTCCTGCCCTGGTCTCACCCGCCCTCCCCGCTACCCGACATCAACCATCTCACACCCAAATTGGACCATGTCACAGCAGCCACAGAGAGACGCCTGGAGAGATGGATGGGCAGGAAGGTAGGTGGGAAAGTAAGCATGACAGGCGGGTAGGGAGGCAGGCAGACGGGTAGGCAGTAGCTGGAAAGACCATGAAGCTTAAAGGTAAGTCCCAGAACTCCTCAAGGCACACACGGCCTTCCTCGCAGCCCCCAACCCCCTCACTGTGCAACGCTTAGGCCTCACCCCTACAGTGGACCCAACCCTCTCTGGGCAATCCTCTGGTGCCTCACCCCTAGGCCTCCATACACACAGGGTCCCTGATCGGGGGCGCTCAGCCCTTCCCGTCCAACCTGAGCCCCTGTTCCTTCTCAGAGATGGGCTGGAGCTCGCTGCCGCCCCCAGACCCCTCCCAGCCACCCCTTCCTGGACCGGCTTGGACGTCCTAGGGGGAGCTGACAGGACACAGATTATCATGCCAGGGTCAGGCACCCAGGACCCTCCTGTCTACCTGAGTGGCTTGAAAGGCAAGAGGCACCGACAGGGCGCACACCTGCCCGCAGCGGGCACAGACTTGTCTGTATGTGCGCCCCTCCGGGAGCCACAGCATGGCGCTGGGCACGAAAAACCTCCCCTGATGGAGGGATGAGCGCAGGGACCAGTGGCGCCCCGAAGGGAGATCCTTTCTCTAAGGGGGTGGGGGGGTGGGGATCGTGTTCACTCACACAGAAAAGAACTAGGGAAAAGGGGAGAGAGGAGATTCAGGGCTGCTGGACACAAAGGGAAGTAGCGGACACTGGAGTGAAAGCGCGGATGTGATCCTCAAAAGAGCCCAGAAGAGGAGATGCGCTGGGGGCGGGGAGACTACGCAGGGGGCGGGGGGGGGGGGTGCCGCGTGCGGAGCAGGCGTGAGGGGAGACGACGCACGGGGGGGCGCGGAGCGGGCGTGAGGGGAGACGGAGCGGGCGTGAGGGGAGACGGAGCGGGCGCGAGCGGAGACCACACATAGGGGCCGCGGAGCGGGCGTGAGGGGAGACAGAGCAGGCGTGAGCGGAGACTACTCACGGTGGGCGTGGAGCGGGCGTGAGGGGAGACCACGCACGGTGGGCATGAAGCGGGCGTGAGGGGAGACGGAGCGGGCGCGAGCGGAGACCACGCATAGGGGTCGCGGAGCGGGCGTGAGGGGAGACAGAGCAGGCGTGAGGGGAGACCACGCACGGTGGGCGTGGAGCGGGCGTGAGGGGAGACGGAGCAGGCGTGAGCTGAGACCACGCACGGTGGGCGTGGAGCGGGCGTGAGGGGAGACAGAGCAGGCGTGAGGGGAGACCACGCACGGTGGGCGTGAAGCGGGCGTGAGGGGAGACGGAGCGGGCGCGAGCGGAGACCACGCATAGGGGCCGCGGAGCGGGCGTGAGGGGAGACAGAGCAGGCGTGAGCGGAGACTACTCACGGTGGGCGTGGAGCGGGCGTGAGGGGAGACCACGCACGGTGGGCGTGGAGCGGGCGTGAGGGGAGACGGAGCGGGTGCGAGCGGAGACCACGCATAGGGGCCGCGGAGCGGGCGTGAGGGGAGACAGAGCAGGCGTGAGCGGAGACTACTCACGGTGGGTGCGGAGCGGGCGTGAGGGGAGACAGAGCGGGCGTGAGGGGAGACCACGCACGGGGGGCGCGGAGCGGGCATGAGGGGAGACGACGCACAGGGTGGGGCGCGGAGCGGGCGTGAGGGGAGACGACACACGGTGGGCGCAGAGCGGGCGTGAGCGGAGACCACACACAGGGGGCCCGGAGCAGGCGTGAGGAGGGGCCCTTGCAGTGCTCTCCCCAGCGCAGGTGGGGGGGCCAGTCGGGGACAGAAGGAAGAGCAGGGTCAGGGGAGCCCACTTTGGGGACTTCCTTAGGCACCGGGTTCCCACGCGTGGATGGAGCAGTGGGGAGAAGGGCAGGCATGTCACGAGGTTGTGGTCACGGGGACACGGATATGGCCACCCCTGCCCCAGGTACCTAGTCTCAGATATTCCATTCAGGTGGGAGAGAGGCGGCTGGTTCACAGAGATAAGGAGGGGGCCTGGAGAGGGCAGTGGCACCCTCAGCCAAGACTGCTGGGCACACCGGTTCCTCCCCCAGAACCTCAGAGGGCCCCCAGGGTAGGAGACGTCCATTCTGTGCTGATCTCATCACATCACGGGCCTGGGGACAGAGTCCTCCGGCCACCCCTTCCATCTCCCATGCAGGGAAGCTGAGGAACTGGGAGGAGACACGGCCTGCTGACCACACAGCACCTCAGGGTGGGACCTGGAAGCCCGGCTCCCGGCTCCGTGCCTGTTTCCTCTTCTGTGAAATGACCATCATGACTGGCCCGCACTCGCAGGGCTGGGGCGAGAAGTCGAAAGGGAATGCATAAGCGGCTCCACCCGGCGCCTGACCACATCAGCAGAGACAGCGCAAGCAGCATCATGCCAAGGATGTGCAGGTGACTAGGCTCCTCCTGAATGCTGCAAGAATCTGCAAATGCCCACTGGCCACGGACACTGTGTTTCTACTGCTTCCTATCATCCACAGAGCCTTCCCCAGATGGAGGGAGCCGGACAGCCACAGTGCAGCATGGACCTGCAGCTCAGCTCTAAGTGAGTGGGTTAGGCTCTGCTATTTGGGAAAGAAGACGGAGTAGCCGCTGAGGAGATGGAGCGTGCGCAGCTGCTTTTGCTTCTATCGTTCCCAGGACATGCCCTGGGTTGACAGCACTCTCCACGCTCGCCACAACCTGAGACAGGCAGGCGAGAACCAAAACCAATTTCTTGGCAAACAGGGGGCACGACCAGCTCCCAAGGCCCCTGCGTGGGCCCGTTCTTGTCCTGGGAGCTGGGTATGCGCCAGCTCTGGGGAAGGGGTGCAGAGGGACACCCGGGAGCCTCTGGGTGCGGACCCCCCCGCCCCCGGCCCCAGAGCTGCCTGGCTCACAGTGAGGCCCTCATCCACCCAGGCTGTGCACCGCACCCCAGAGCGCAAGCTGCACTGAGCCTCCCTGCTGGCTGGGGACACCGTGGGCCAAGCCGACTCTCCGCCCCCTCAGCTGTCTAAACCCACTGCGTGGCTGGTGGACCCGCTCCAGGGAGAAAGAGTTCACCCACAGCAGGGAGTTTTATCACTTCTGACACCAAAAAGCCTGCGTCATTTCCGAATCCTGACTTTCATGACTTGAAGTTTCCCAAGAAGCCTCCTCTGGGACCTGACTGGTTCCTACTTAGGCTGCGGCTTCAGGGAAAGTTGCTATTTTTAGAAGGGTTTCAGTAAAGCCGGTAGGGGCTCTCTGGCTGGGCTATAGTGAAGTGTGCTCCAAAAAAAAGGAAAAAAAGAAAAAAGGCACAGACAGAAAAGCTACTATACAAGATGCAGCTCTAAAAGGTTTATAGTTTTAAGAATTGACTTAAAACAAATGTCCCTCAACTTAAAAAAAAAAAAAGCCCTAAATAGAAATGCATGCTTGAAAAACACCTGAAAATGGGCTGACAAAGGGCAGTCAAGTATTTCATAGTTGGCTTTTTTTTTTTAATCCTAGGGTGGGAGGGGTGAAATAATTAAGCTGGAGTCTTGTTTTTATTCTCAGATGCTCTGAGATCTATTTTGGGAAAGGTGTTCTTAATGCAAGGTAATACTGCCTAGAAAACTCGCCTCAGGTACGAGGGGACATCAACTAAGGGCGCAAACCTGGAGAAACTCCCAGAGGAATCCAGGGAATTCAGACTGTTGGCTGGCACTCTCTCCTCCAGCACGGCCGGGCAGAGGGGAGCACACACCAGTTTTGGGTGAAGTTAAGAAAGGGCGCCAGCCTGCATGGCCTCCCCACCCCACTCAGGTGGAGAAAAGACAGCGATGTTCAAAACACACACACACACACACCCCCCAAGCAGTTAAAAAAAACACCTTCTTGCCACTTTACTTTCATTTCCTTCGGCACTTTATTTATACACACAATGTTGTTCTTGAAAAACAGAAAGGGAACCAAAAGGGAAAAACAGAGGCCTACGAGGTTATGGCGCTGAACTGCGCTGGGCAAGTGGCACGAGATCAGGAGCTGATGGGATCGTGGAAACAAAACAACAGATAGCCAAACTTTCCATGGCCCCAGCCAGCCCTGTCCCGCCCAGTGCCACCAACAGGAAGGGGCGCTGGCTTTAAAGTCACAAGTGCACGTGTGTGTGGCCTGATCCGGGACACAAGATTGAGGAGAGGAAAAGCGGAATAAAAGAGGGAAAACGCAACTCTAGGTTGGAACGGGCACCAAGAGGGAAGGGCCAGGCTCTGAACGGCCTGGCTCAGGCCACTAGCAGGGACACAGGTAGGCGCTGCCTGGAGCAGGTGGCCACTCCACGCAGCCTCCCACGCTCCCTGGTGCAGAGGGCTCGGATCATGCCTCATCCTCGTCCCCTGGGCCCACCTTGGGGGCACTGCTCACCCTCATTCCCCTGCCTCTGAGGGAGAGGGCCCACTTGTGCTGGCTTGAGAACACAGCGTGAGCCCCTTCCCTGGAGACTGCTGCCCCCATGTGGCAGAGGTTTCTTCATTTCAGGGGACAGTTTCCCACCCGCAAAGCAGGGACATAAGCCAAGGACACACAGCTCCACTCGAGGAGTATGTGTAACAGCCACACAGTGACAAGTGAACATGAAGGCACATCTCAGGCTCTGGCCCCTTCTGGCCGATCCCAGACCATCAGTGTCCCAGTTCCCATAGAAGGGTGACTCCCTCCAGGCTCTGGAAGGAGACAAGACGGAAACCCTGGCACCCCCCGCGGCAGCCAATGGGCAAACAGATGCTTTGCCTCCAGCCAGGAGTTAGATTTGCTACCTTGACAGTTTACACTCACGCGCTTCTCTGAAAACCTGAACAAAACCTCAAACGTTTCTTGGAAGCCACATGCCACAATCACACGTCGCTAACCACAAGCACTCAGCACCCAGACAGCGTGCACCCCTCGGGCTGAGTGAAGCAGGCGGGATGCCCCTCCGAGGAGCTGGCATGCGGGGTGCGAGGGCGTGGGCGGTAGGGGACTCCGGGCTGTGGGTGCCTGCTCCCACACATTCCAGGGTTCCTCCTCCAGCCACCCCCACCCCCCAGCTAAGGGGAAGAGCAGGGACAGGAACTGTATCTGCATGTGGTCATCAAGGCCCCCGTGGCCATGGAGCCCGGGCCACCTGGACGGGAGCAGGCAGCTGGAAAACACCAGAGGAATAAACGGAGAACACGGGGGCTTCGACAGGCTGTGCTGCACCTGGTTCTGCATCCTGAAGGGGGACCCCACCCTCCTGACGAGGCCAAGACACACACACCGAACGCGTCCCTCAACTCCTGTTAACCCGGGCTTGCAGTCGAAACCAAGCGACGCTGAAGGTTAGGACAGAGGACAGAAGCTGCAGATCAGCTCCCCACAGCCAACGTTTTCAACTTCTCAGCAGTTTCTTCTGGAATGTACCTCAGAGTCATGGGCTTCTACTCTTATTGCTTGCTCTGTTTTGGACAGTCTCTGCCGATGGACTTCTTGCTATGTAAGATTTAGCTCTCCAGCCACACCTCCTTCGAGCCCCTCTGACAGAGTGATCACACCACGTGTGGGGTTACATTTACAGTCAGTTCAGGTAATTATGGCTGCGCAGACACCGCCCAGGCTGAACAGGAGTGACTTACAGGCCTTCCTGAACAACTTATTTTGCGCCCGCGTTTTTATTCACCAACTGAGCCCAGCCCTCGCTTTCCACATTCTTCTCGGGTTCTGCCCACAGGCAGCTGCAGACATATCTCCTGCATGTGGGCCCGTGGCCCCCAGTTCTGGCCTCGCGGGCTGCACGCCAGGCCCGGCCCCCTGTGCCCAACACCTTCTTGCTTTGTTTGGCCACTGGGACGACTTTATCACCTGAGGTCTGACGGCCGTTGAGACACCAGTGAGGGCAGAAGGGAGCCCCTTGCACCTATGCCTGGGTGGGGGGGGGACTCAGGGCTCTGGCAGCGCCACTTGGAGGAAGGGAAATGGGTCCAGCCACAGCCACGGACACCTTGTAGACCCTGTCTGCGGACTCACAACGTCACATGAGCGTGCGTTTCGCATTTCAGAGTTGGACGGGTGCCAAGGAAATACATACGTGGCATGAAACAACTATGCCTGGCAGCCACAAGACCACGACCAATACCACAGCACAGGCACACTGCGGAGGCACAGAGGCTCCACGGGAGAGGTTTACCTTGGACATCTGGCTGAAGTCGGCAAAGCCCTCGGCACTACTGAAGGACCCACTTCCGAAGGGGTCTAAGGCTCCGAAGGGACCTGCAAGCAGCAGCAGGAGAGGCAGTTACAGTGCGCTCATGGAACACACCTCCTGGGGGCAAGCTCAAGTGCCTCTCTCAGCTCACCACAGCACCAGGGCAGATCCAGGGTGCTCATGTTTGTTTGCAGGGTGCTGACTCTGGGTGCAGGTCCTCAACCAGGACCCCCCCACCCCCCCACCCGCCACCCAGCCCACTCTGGCTTGTGGTTGGTGCAGCTCAGCCAGACAGTTTGCGGCCACGCAAGCTAGGGGCACTCAGCCCTGTGGCTGGGCTGCCAGCCAGCATCAATCACAGTCACGGAAGAAGTGACAAGCCCCCCGTGGAAGGACAGACAGGGCCTGGTGTCTGTCCTGCTGGACCAGGTTGGGGGAGTGAGAGGGAGGGGACTGCCATGCACACGGCTCACGTGGGGAGGGCATCTGTGGGTAGAGATTTCTGCTGAGCTTTTTCCTTCAGTGGGTGGTGTGATTTTCCTGGAGTAGCCCACAAGCCCACCTATGAAGTCAAGCTCTATAACTTAACAAGTCAAGATGCTAGGCAAGGCAGCAGTACCAAGGGGGGACTGTTCCCACAGGCAAGGTGGGGCGGAGGAGGCAGTCCGCAAACGCTCCCCTCCTTTAGAGGCACACCTAAGGGTTTTATGCTGTGAAGGGAGGGTCCCTCAAACCCAACACCCACAGCACAAGCCTCAACAGAACTTTGGATCTATTTAGGAAAAAAAATCAAACATACGAACCAAACATTCTTAAGGAAGACTGTGTCAAGAGTAACTAATATATCAGTGTTATTACTGAATTAATCCCTATAGCCAAGCTTCCTTCCCAGCAGATGCCAGCTCCTGCTCAGGAAGATGAGGGCCGTGGCGTGGGCCATACTGCCTTGGGCGAGGATCTGGGTGCTACTTACTAACGACACAAACGCTGAAAAGACACCAGCTTTGGAACAGGTGGGCCATTCTGCTGCCCAAGGAAGAGAAGTAAAAGAAGCCATCGGTCTCACCTGATCCTTTTGAGGAGACACTGGAGGATGAAAAAGGATCGCTGGATTCAAAGGGGTCAAGCTGAGGGAAAAGGAAAGAGGAGAGAGTGAAAAGCAGTTCCTGTGCCCATCACCCATTCATTCAACCACAAACTCTCTGGACATCTTCCCTGGCCATGGGGAGGACACAGTGATTTAAACCTAATCCTGGCAGAGTCCAACAGACCAACCCCTCCTGCATGTAATACCAACAAATACTCTGGACCGGGGGGAAAAAAAAGCAATCACCTAAAGACCTAGGAAGTGAATCAAAGCAGCAAGACTTGGGAAGAGAACTGAAATTTGGTAGTAAAAAAAACAGTACAAGGCTGGGTTTTCCAGGTTTTATCTTGGCCCACTGCTCAGCTTGTGGGATCTCAGTTCCCTGACCAAGGACTGGACCCCGGCCGCGGCCCGTGAAAACACTGAATGCTAACCACTAGACCACCAGGGAACTCCCAGGTTTTCCGTCTTGATAGCTACAGTCTGAGAATACTGAGGCTATGGACTCCAAAAGAAAGCTCACTGTCTTTCTGCACTGCAGCTCAGAGGCGGGAATCCCAGGACAGCCACAACCATGAGAAAGGGATGTGGCCCAGCAAAAAACAAAAAGCCCAGTGGAGAATTAAGCTGTCTTCATACCTGCAAATGATGCAGGCTCTTTTTGTTAAGACTCTTGGAATTTACTAACCATAATTATAACAGTATAATCCAAACAATGTTAAGTAACCTCCTTATCATGTTAATCAACTATTCTCTTAAGAAGATCTATTGTGTTGACTAATTGAACAATAATTCAAGTCGAGTGTCCCAGAAAGAAACCCACTTGCACTCCCTCTTTGGAGTCTGGCTGGCAGCGCTGAGTACTGCCAGGGGCCCCGAGCGCTGAGTACTGCCAGGGGCCCCGACGGGTCCTGACATTGTGTCCTCCTTTAGAGGCCTCGTCTTCTGCATGTGGCTTCATCCCCACATGGCTGCAAACAACCTGGGGCTGTGTTTTATTTGGGAGTTATTTGGCCAGGGCTTTTTGAACAGCAGTGTCCCAATGAAGTGCTGGATGTTATTTACTTAAGAATGAACTTTTTTTTTTTTTAACAATAATATCCTTTCAGAAATTTCTAACTACTCTGTAACTGCCTGACTTAACATGGTGATAAAACAGTTATTAAAAGACTATCTTTTCCAAAGCTTAAAAAAGGAGGGTGGGTCTAGAACGGAGAGGCAGAGAATGGGAGTCCCAAATTCCATGATAAGCTCTGCCCAGGTCTCAGGCTGACCCCTACACTGTGTGTGGGTGGGCAGACTCAGAGCAGTCTATAGCTAAGGCCACAGGAATGAAACCACAGGCCAGACAGGGAGAGACTACAGTGCGAGTCTCACCAAGTTAGTTGCCTACTGAAACAAAATCATCCACACTCTTTGGAAGAATGCAACAGAATCAAGTCTCCACAACAGAGTACTCACAACACCCAGGATATATCTCTAAGTTATTCAAAATACAGAGAACAAGAAAAATGTGGTTCTCAAGGGAAAAAGACAATCAATGGAGATGATCTCAAGATGACCCAGATACTGGAATTCTCAGATGAGGATGACTTTATAGCAGCAGTGACTGGGCTTAATGAGATAAAGGTAAATACACTTCAGATGAACAACAAGATAGGAGATCCTGGTAGAGAAGTGGAAACTATACAGACGAAACATGGACATTCTAAAACTGTAAAGTACAATACACAGAATAAAAGCTTCAGTAGATCAGCTAACCAACAAATGACAAAAATGTGAGTGAAGTTGAAGATAAATCAGTAGAAATTACACAATCTGATGAAAAAAAAGAGAGGAAAAAAAAAGAAAAACAGGGCCTCAGGGAACTTTGAGGATATTGAGGATAATATAAACACCTGTGTAACTGGAATCCCACAAAGATAGAATAAAAAAGAAAAAATTTCTGAAGAAATAATGGCTGAAAACATACCAAATTTGGTGAAAGACCTAATTTTTAGACCTAAGAACTTCAGCAAACCCCAAGCACCATAAATAAAAAGAAAACTATATCCAGACCCTACACAAACTACTGAAAAACAAAGATAAAGAGAGGTTCTTTAAAACAACCAGAGAAAAGAACATGTTACATGCAGGGAACAACGATCTGAAAGGCTGGTAACTTTTCATTAAGAACAACAGAGACTAGAAGGTAGGGGGACAACATCCTACAAGTGCCAAAAGGGAAAATGATACTAGATTGGGCACAAATATACTCAAGGATGAAAACAAAGCAGTCCTGCATCACAAGGGCTAATGTAAGTTCTTCAGGCAGAAGGAAAATGAAAATGGAGGGAAAACCAGACCTTGAGAAAGGGATGAAGAACTTGAGAATGGGGACTATATGGATGAAAACAAGAACTACTTTTTTCATCCTTAAAACTGATCAGTTTAGTTCAGTTGCTCAGTCATGTCCGACTCTTTGTGACCCCATAGACTGCAGCACGCCAGGCTTCCCTGTCCATCACCAACTCCCGAAGCTTGTTCAGACTCACATCCATCGAGTCGGTGATACCATCCAATCATCTCATCCTCTGTCATCCCCTTCTCCTCCTGCCTTCAATCTTTCCCAGCATCAGAGTCTTTTCCAGTGAGTCAGTTCTTCGCATCAGGTGGCCAAAGTCTTGGAGTTTCAGTTTCAGCATCAGTCCTTCCAATGAATAATCAGGACTGATTTCCTTTAGGATTGACTGGTTTAAAACTGACTTTAAAAGTGGTTTAAAACTGATACAGTGGATTAAAGCAAAAATTATTATAACACTGTCTTAAGGCATTTAATATATTTGACGTGTTACATTCATAGGACAACTATAACAGAGACACTGCTGTTTAGGGGTGGGTGCATAAATGGATCTACATGATGGCAAATATTTTACATTATACATTAAGTGTTGTTTGTTGATACTGTTCAGTCGTTAAGTGGTGTCTGACTTGCTGCAACCCCATGGACTGTAGCACGCCAGGCTCCTCTGTCCTTTACTATCTCCCAGAGTTTGCTCAAATTAATGTTCATTGAGTCTGTAATGCTATATAACCATCTCATCCTCTACCACCCCTTCTCCTTTTGCCTTTAATGTTTCCCAGCATTAGGGTCTTTTCCAATGAGTCGGCTCTTCGCATCATGTGTTCAAAGTATTGAAGCTTCAGCTTCAGCAAATGACATAGTATTAATTCCAAGTAGCCTACAAAAAGCTAAGTGTGAAAATGGCAATCCCTAAAGTAACCTCTAAAAATAATAAAAAGCAGTATAGTTAAAAGAGGCCAATAAGTACTACAAAATGGAATCCTAGAAAACATGCAAATAACCCAAAAGAAGACAGAGGGGAACAGATGAATAAAACACAGAGAATAAAAGGAAGTAAATGATAAAATAGTAGATTTTAATCTAATTATATTGATAACTGCATTAAATGTGAATGAACTAGATACTCCATTTAGAAAGCAGAGATTTCCAGACTGTATAGAAAAGCAAGGCCCAACGTTGATACATGCTCAACACAAAAGACATCAACTTCAACTCCCAGATAGGTTCAAAGTTAAGTGGATAAAAAAAGATAAAGCATGCAAAGAGTAAGCATAAGAAAAATGAGGTGGCTATTTTAAAATGTGATAAAAACAGATTAAGACAAAGATTATCACCAGAGGAAAAATGGAACCCTTTTAAAGATAAAAGGTCACTGCATCAGGATGATATAACAATCATCAATATGTAGGCAACTGACAGAGCTTCAAAATACATGTAGCTAAACTTGACAGAATTAAGGGGGATATGGACAATGCTGCAATCATAGGAGAGGATTTCAACACCTCAGCAACTGGTAGAGCTAACACACACCTTAAAAATAGACAATCAGTCCTCTAATAGAACATAATGGAAAAGAATATGAAAAAGAATATATATATATACATAATTAAATCACTGTAGTGTACACTAAAAACTAACACAACATTGTAAATCAACTAAACTTTCAATTAAAAAAAAGGAAAGGGGGAATTCCCTGGCTGCCCAGTGGTTAGAACACAGCACTTTCACTGCTGTGGCCCAGGTTCCATCCCTGGTTGGGGCGCTAAGATCCCCCAAGCTACATGGGCGTGGCCCCCTTAAAAAAAAATGGGGGGAAAAAATAGACCTTCAGAACAACCACCGTGACCTAGCTGGCATTTACAGAACATCATACCCAACAATGGCAAATATTCTTCTCAACTGTACCCTGTACGTTCCCCAACAAAGACCATAAAAAGAGTCTCAATAAATCTAAAAGGACTGAAAACATACAAAATAGGTTCTCTAATAACAATAAATCTAATTAGAAACCAATATTATAAAATACCTGGAGGGGGGCAGTACTTCGAAATGAAACAATACCTTTTAAATAATCCACGGTTCAACAGAGCATTCACAAGGGAAATTGAAAAATATCTCAAACTGAACAACAATGAAGATACAACATGTCAAAATGTGTGGAATGCACCTAAAGCAGTGCCTGAAGAGAAACGCGTAACTTTTTATAAAAATAATTTTATTTATTTTTGGCTGTGCGGGGACTCTGCTGCTCTGCGGGCTTCCCTCTAGTTGTGGCAAATGCGGGCTATCCTCCAGTTGCGGTGTGCAGGCTCTCGTTGCGGGAGCTCCTCTAGTTGTGGAGCACAAGCTCCAGGCGCTTGCAGTAGTTACGGTTCTTGGGCTCTAGGGCACAGGTTCAATAGTTGCGGTGCACGGGCTCAGCTGCCTCGCGGTATGTGGGATCTTTCCGGACCAGGGATCAAACCTGTGTCTCCTGCAGTGGCTAGGTGGATTCTTTACCATTGAGCCACCAGGGAAGCCCAGAAATACACAGCATTAAACACTTACATTAGGGAAAAAAGATCCAAGATCAATGACCTAAGGTTGGATCTTAAGAAGTCAGAAACAGAAGAGCAAAGTAGGAAGAAGGAAATCATGAGCAGAAATCAGTGAAACAGAAAACAAACAGGAGAGAAAATTAACATAGCCAATAGCTGGCTTGTGGAAAAGATGAATAAAATTGATAAACACAGAGGTGAGAACACAGACCACCAACATTAGGAATGAAAGGGGGACCTCACAACGGGTCTCAGAGGCAGAAATGTTCCAGGTTAATCCTTGCCTTCAAGGAGCTCTGGGGCTAGTCCTGCAGCCCCGTAGGTCCATGGACAAGTGAAAAACCAAGGCATGGGTAAAATGAGGACAGAGATGCAGCCTAGAGCATGCAGGAAGGCTACACACGGCCCTCACTCAGACACAAAATTCTCATTCCATCACAAAGTCAATTCTCTGCTTTTTAAATCCTCGCTGACACCAATTTAAACCAGTCTGTTGGGCCTAATGTACACGACACATGACTTACTGTTGCTGGGGGGAAGGGGAGCACTCTCAGTGCAGCAGGCTGTGTGTCTGGATTCCCTCCTGCCACAGCGGGGCCCCCTGGGGCAAGCTGATGCCAGTGTCACCATCAGCACTGGGCACTCAGGGGCAGCCGGGCAGACCCGTGGGAGGACACGGCATTGTTTCGTCTTTGTTTGGGGGCTGCAGTGGCCAAGCAGAGCACCCAGCCAGTGGGCCTGAGCTGGAGGAGAGGGGCACCAGAAGGGATGGAGGGGTGACAGCCAGGCAGGACACAGTCCACCCTGATGCGGGCTCACTGGACTGCTGGGCGTGACACCTGGCTTCATAGGGCAAGCCTCTGCAGGGACCAGCAGGGACGGTCACCATGCGGTCCAGGAAGGAGGCTGGGCCTTCTCGCCAGCTCCCAGGGAATGGCCTGGCCTCTGACGGCTCTCACTTGTCAGGCTTAGCAAGCTCAGTCTGAGAGAAAGAGGCTCTGACTTGGTCCAAGGGGGGTGTCATACACAGAGAGCATGCAGATGGGCAGGACCCGGAAAGCGGCCCTCCTGAGGTCACTCACCTTTGACGGTAAGGAAGGGTTTTTCGTGAACGGGTCTGAGGTAAACGGGTCGCTCTTGGTCTGCTTCTTAAAGAAGTCATCAGGGGTGGAGCCACGGAATGGGTCACTTTCTTTGAAAGGATCCCCACCGAATGGATCTGGGAAGTGTTTTGGAAAAAGAAGGAAAAAGCCCCATGAATAAACGCTATGCTTAGGGAGAGAATGCCCATTAAAAAAAAAAAAAAAAAAACCCACAATTGACTGACACCACTTACTTGAAATTCTAGAAAATGGAAAAACCACAGTGGCAGAAAATGGCTGCCAGAGCCCTGGTGGCACGGGGTGGAGGCGCACGAGGGGACCTTTAGGGACAGCGCAAATGTTTTCTTTCTCATCTGACTATACACATGTTGGAACGCATCTGATTCTACACTTAAGATGGGTGAGTTTTGCGGTATGTTCATTATACCTCTCAGTAACACTTATTTTTAAAAATAAAATCAGTAGAAACAAACAATGTGGGTAAGTCCATAAGGACAGAAAGCAGACTGGCGGTTGCCAGGGGCTGGGTCAGGGGGAACTGGCAGACGCGGCCTCCTTTCGGGGTGACAGAAACATTCTGAAACTACATAGAGGTGGTGAGCACACAACACACTGAACTGACTACAGGTCAGTGAAATGTGCACTTTAAGATGGCTAATTGTGCTATGCAAATTTGTTAGGCCTGTGTTACATGAATTCCACCTCAAGAGAAACAAATAAATAACCGGGCAGGAGGAGATAAACAGGCAGCATGATGCCAACACCACCACGCCCAGAGTGTGTTCATGTGGGGTGCAGGCCTGGCAACCGAGAGGGCAGCCCCCATCACCCGGAGCGACGAAAATGCTGGGCTTTTTTTTTTTTCTTTATGATGTGGACCAATTTTTTTAAAGTTTTTTTTTTTAAACTTTTGTTTGTTTATTTTTGGCTGTGCCAGGTCTTCGTTGCTGCTCGGGCTCCCCTCCAGCTGCGCTGCTGGGGCTTTCACTGAGGCGGCTTCTAGGGCACATGGGCTCAGTAGCTGTGGAGCCCAGGGTCAACTGCTCCAAGGCGTGTGGGGTCCTCCTGAGTCAGGCACTGAACCTGTGTCTCCTGCATCGGCAGGTGGATTCTTCACCACTGAGCCACCGGGGAAGCCCAAGATGCTAGGCCTCTGTGCGAAGTGATGCTGTCCTTCCCTGCTCACTCCACGGCCACCCTGAGCACATGAGGCAGACGCGCCACCACGTGCGGGTACCACACGGGACAGCCTGACGCCGCCACAGGTGACAAGCAGGCGGGAGCGCGGCGTCGGCACGCCTGTCGGGCCGTCAGGGGCTGGCTTTCCCATCCTAGCTCTCACGGTGCCCTGCAATGGGCAGAAAGGGCCACTGGACTGAGAGCGGGAGGCGCGACAGGGCTGCCTTCAGCTCACCAGGCACAGGAGCGGCAAGGTATTTCTTCGTTCCCCTCACCCTGAACTAGGAATGGGAACACTCTTCTTTTTTAATTTTTACTGGAGGAGGGCACTGCAACCCACTCCAGTGTGCTTGCCTGGGAAATTTTATGGACAGAGGAGCCTGGCAGGCTGTAGTCCATGGGGTCATGAAGAGTCAGACATGAGTCGGCGACTCAAGAACAACAACAGAATAGCTGCTTTCCAACGTTTGTGTTGGTTTCTGGTGCAGAGCAAAACAAATCAGATACCTCCACACATGCATCGCCTCTGTTTTGGATTTCCTTCCCAGCTAGGTCGTCACAGAGCACGGAGTCGAGCTCCCCTGCTATACAGGAGGTTCTCGTTAGCTGTCTAGGAGTGGGAATATTCTGAGGACCAGGTCACACAACGGTTCTTCTAACGAAGGCTTTTTTTACCTGCTGAAGCTGTTTGTTGCTCGGCAAAGGGGTCACTCTGGAATGGGTCGCCTGGATTAGAGAAGAGAGAACCATTCAGCTCTGCGGTGGAAATGACCTTGGCAGAGCAACGTGGGAAAGCAAGGGTGGCCAGTGGCTGAGGTAGTCCATCATGGCAAGGATGATGAAGATGAAACGAAAAGAACTCTGGCTACTCAACGTGGGCCCAACGGCGGGGAAACGTAGGACCAGCCTGAATTCACTCTTTCTATGCCCTGCTTAAGGCTCACCGCTCCCCTCCCCATCACCCCCGGGTTCCAAGAACCCGAGCGCCCAGAGCTGCCCCCTCCTCTGCCTCCTGGGACACCTGAGCCTCGGCAGCTGGCCGAGTCAGCCCTCAGAACTCGGGTGCTTCCACTCCAAGTCTCTAACTGGAAAGGCACTGCCACTGCCCCCTCCCTGCCCTGGCATTTTTCTCAGGAAAATACAGATAGCCTTCTTGGAAATAGTTTTGCTCTGCGAAAAAAAAAAGGAAGAAAACTTAGGAAATCTTGTTTCTAGAATTCTTAGTTATTCTCAACTCATGTGTGGCTCTGGGTGAACTCGCTGTGTTAAGACCTTAGAGACTGTGTGTGGGGGGATCTGCTGTTTACCAGGGGCTCCAAAATCACTACTACATCTACCTATCTTAGTCCTGCCAGGTGGACGCAATCTCTGGGCCGAGCCAGTTCCTTGCACGAGGCCGTCTCACAGTGAGCTTGGAGCTCTTCCCACCCCCACTCAACACCACAGCGCCTCCGTTAACCAGGTGAAGTGAAAAACTCAAGAGGCCTGTTAGGCTCCAAGAATTTCTTTCCTCCCCCCACGTCAGAGGGTGCTGCCAGTCACGAGACAACCCAGAGGGGCAGAAAACAAACAGCCTTTCGGTGACAAAGTGGGTGCCAATGAGGTACCTTTGAAGGGATCGGCTCCTTTAAATGGGTCAGATTTGAAGGGGTCTTCTGCCTGAAAGGGATCCGGATGCAATTCTTGGGCGTTGTTGCTAAATAACAAGGCTTTATTTTTGAAAGGATCATCCTGTAATTTCGCAAAGAGACAGGACAGGGATTTCATTATTTCAGATTTAAAGCCAAGCACAGAATTCTATACCAAACTGGTGTATTTTCCCCTCTAAGTGATGTGACCCTAAAGAGAGTAATTTTTTCTAAAAAACCCACAGAAGACGGATTTTAAATAATAATGTCAACAACAGTCCATAAATTGTGATAAATGTACAAGACATTAATAACAGGGTAAGCTGGCTGTGGGTTATACAGGAACTCTCTGCGTTATCTTTGCAACTTTTCCTTAAGTCTTCTAAAATGAAAGTCTATTTAAAAATTGTCGAGTGGAAGCAACCCCGGCATCCAGTGATGGATGAACAAATAAGCGTGGTATGTCCATAAAATGGATTATCATTCAGCCTTTAGAAGGAAGGAAATTTTGACACACACAACATGGATGAACCCTGAAGACATTAGGCTGAGTGAAAGAAGCCAATCACCAGAAGACAAATACTGTGTAATTCTACTTACATGAAGTCCCTAGAGCCATCAAATTCATAGAGATAGAAAGCAAAATAGTGGGTGGTCAGGAGGATGGGGAGCAGTGCTTAATGGGTATGAAGAAGTTCTGGAGCTTGACCGTACAACATGAATATACTTAACGCTACTGAACTGTATAATGAAAGATGGCTATGATGGTAAACTTTGTGTCTTTTACCATAATTAGAAATATTTTTAAATAAATCACTGTGTCAGAAAAAAAGTCATATTTTTGGAAATGTCAGAAAGAAAATGTAACGAGTCCCTTCAATGACTACAGCTCAAAGCCTCCTTGTTCAAAGGTGCACCTCCCTCAAGCACCTCCTCAGAGAGCGTGTGCCTATGTGGGCATTTTTTAAAATGCCTGTTTCTACACCAAGAGGCATGATGGCTATTTACATCCAGAGAGGAAGTGTGTGCTTATGCAGTTAGAACTACTAGAGCATACACAGCACTTTGCATTTTTTCTTTAAAAAGTGCTTATTTGTAGAAACAAACAGCATATTTAAATCGGGGGGGGGGGGAACTTTGCTTTTGAAGAGCAAGTTTTTATAGTGGAAAAATTACCTGAAAGGGGTTGGGGAGGGACCTCACAATATATGCGGGAAAACAGTGCACTTGGTTTAGAAATACTGAGATATTTTGGTTCAGAAAGACACACCCTCAGTGAAAACACACAGGTTTCAGTATGACATTAAAAAGCACAACATCCTCCTTCAGTGTGGCAAATGTGTCAGCATCCTTGGGGCTGGCGAACTCAGCCATTATTCCAACTGACTGAGGCCAGATGATGAGAGAGCCGGGGCTTCTGTGAAAATACTGGGCAGTGACATCAGAGGTGCCCATGGGAGGGTCCTGACAGGGCTGACTCCAGGGAGCAGGACATGTCTCAGAGGTACCAGGCCAACAGGAACCCCCAGGCTCCCGAGGAATGGACCAATACCCCTGCCCTCTGACGGATGTGGAACGATTTTCCTTACCTGGAGGTGGGGAAGACAAGCCAGGTCTTGGACAAGTGAGTACCGACATCCGCAAGCGCGGTGTCCAAGTCTGCAATGCACAGACTCAGTAAGGATGCTGTGGTGCCAACTACCATGACGCGCCCGCGCCAGCAAGCACCCAGTGGGGGTCTGAAACACAGACCAACATCAACAGACCTAATCAACGGAAGCCAGGAGGCCGGCATGGAAAATCAACGCCCTGCAGCCCTGGGGAAAGGAACGTATTTGTTCCAGAAGAAGAGAGAGAGATGATGAATGACCTGGATAAAGTAGTGAATTAAGAATGACAACTTGGAAAACTAAATAGAATAGAAGCTTCTATTTGGTTTTTAATTAGCAGTAATGTACCACTGCTAATTGGTACTTTTTTTTTAATGTTTTCAATTGCCACTTGGAAGACTTGTCAAGAAACAGTGGACGACGGCGGAGAGGACCCCGATTCCTGGGTGCTCCGGCTGCAATCCCCCAACTGAAAGGCAGGTCTGCTCTCTCTCTCTCAGGAGCAACTGCTCGGCCTGAGACAGCGGCCACTTCCTCCCCTTCAAAGAAGCCTGAGGCCACCGGCAGGACTCACGAGGTTAGGGTAACCACGGGGTTCGGATTCCATTTCAGGCTCGGAGCAGAAAGTAGATTTGCCCTGGCACAAAGGGGCTATCAACTCCACCACCTGCTGACCACCTACTGAGGAGCATAGAGCCATCTGCCCACCTGGGAGACGCAAGTGTGGTGGCAAAGCTTGGGGTGATCGGTGCGGCTCGTGGCAGAGAGCAAGCACCGTGAACAAGGAGCTCCCTGGCCAGCATTAAGTTCTGCACCTCTCAGGAAACAGAAGTGACAACTCCGAAAGGGCATCAGGGTGGCATTCCGCAACATTCCTCCCCTTTAGACGGGGGCTGGGCGGTGGTGTGCTGATGCAATCAACACTCTCAAGAGAAAATAAAAGCTCTACTTGATAGCCACTGCCAATTCCCATGGCATCACTAGCCCCACTGGGGCTGATGTCTACTTACCAAACAAAGGTGGACCTAAAGCTTTACAAAATTCCTATTCAATCATCAGCTCTGAAGAGTCAGTAAAAGTAGCTCCAGTAGGCCAAGGGCTGAATGTGACAGACAAGCCCGTCCTTCGTGATGAGTTTGTGGTGAAGCTGCATTCTGCTTCTCTCTAGTAGGCTGGCTGAGCACTGACTCCAAGGATAAGAAGTCAGTACCCTTATCAGCAGATGAGACACAAGGAACAAACATGGCTTTCAGAACCCTGCCATCCTGGACAAAGTCAAGTCATGTGAGCCCAACACTAAACCCAGTGACTTCAGTAAAACTGTGCAGACTAAGAACGTTCCTGACGCACCTCTTTGGTTACACTTGTTCTCGGGAAACTAAGCCCCTTACTTTCATCCTCTTTGAAGAGAACTAAGAGACCTCCCTCTCCTTGGGAACAGTCTTGAAATGTCCAGGAGTGAACAAAAGCCCTCTTCACACTGTTTATTAAGAAATGGAAACAAACCAAAAAGTGAGTGCTTTAAAGATTGTATTTGTGCAACAAGATATAGTTTTTCTTCCAAACAGTGGTTGTGGGTTTCTATGTAACACATGTGACATCAACATTTCAAGATGGATTGACCATCATATAAACATCTGTAATAAGATGAATAAAAAATAAAAGCAAAAAAATCTGTGGGGGGCAGAGGTGGGGGAGAATTCCTATTTTCCAAATGACACTTCCCTGCCAACTTTTTATCCAAAGAAACCCATCTTATCAAAGCCTGTGTGACAGAATTTAAGAGGGAGCTGTCCCATGAACTAAGACAGGACGGGCCAGCCAAGAGCTGTGAGGGCACCTGGAGAGACGGCACAAGTAAGAGCAAGGCTATGAAGCTGGGACACACAGACCGACGGTCAGGCAGGAAATTCCGCCTCAGGCGGTTCAGAAAGGAGGACCGTTCCCAGTCTCTATTAAACGATGAAGCTGCCTAAATGGGCCCTGGAGCGGATACGGAATTCCCTCGTTTGCCATTCCCAAGTAGAGAGGAACGTGTGAATGGCAGAGGAAGGCAGGGAGGGCCAAAGATGGGAGACAGATACCACCAGGAGCATTTTCTCAGCACTCTGGAGAATTAGGCATAAGCTTTCCCGTAAATCCTAGGGGCAGAGCACTTGGCCACTGAGGAAAGAGACATGTCGAGAAAAGGCCCAGAGTCTCACATGAAGAGAGACAGAGAGGCTGAACTGTTATGGGGAGGGGAAGGAATCCACGAAGCGGACAAGGCCAGGAGCAGGAGCCTGGAGGAGAGAGACGGTAGTGCAGGGTGTGCGGCCAAAGGCTTTGGGGCAGAACACAAGGAAACTAGAGACCAGCTGTGCCCCCCCGGCTCCCACAGCAGCACAGAGATGGCCTCATCAGCCTGAGTGAGCCAGAAACGGCACACGCCAGGACTCAGGACCACAGCAGTGAACTCTGGCCAGAACAGGGGACTAAGTAACACTGTCTGGACGCCAGCAGCCCCCCACCAGGACCCCCAGGGTCATGCGGCGTGAACCCAAGTGCTGACATTTCAAATGTCACAAAAATTTCAGGAGATGGGCCCATTTGTGGGTGACACAGCAACATCCCGGGAGGGCTGATTGCCATTCCTATTGATCTTTATCTCCACCTGTGATTTTCCAAGGTGCTTCTTGTAGAAACACGGACACACACACACACTTTTCCAGCCTCCCAGTGAGGAGAATGTGGGGTTTCACAATGTGCGAGAATTGATCCCACTGTGGGAAGCCCTCCCAATGGGAGGCACTAGCTCACAGAGATGGAGGTCTTCACAAACTGGTTTCACAAAGGATCCAGGCCTATGCTCGGCTCTGCCCCGGATGCTGGGCTGAAGGGCTGGTGGGCAGGGGCAGAGCAGCAAACACGAGACACACCCTGCACGTAGATGGGATTAGGCTGGTGAGGGCTGGGTCCAGCACGAGGGGCCTTCTCTGAGCCCAACACAGGACCCAATCCCAGGACTGGAAAGCACTTATTCAACCTTTACCATGGCTCCAAAACCGCCCCTCTCTGTCAGGGAGACACCGGCGCTCAGCTCTGCCAGGGTGGTCAGGCCGACACCGGGCGCCCCGTCGAGCGTCTCGTCGTACTGCTCCAGACTGCGCTGGGCTTCCTGGTGGCTCTCGTGGAGCTGGGAGAGCTTGCTTCTGGCCTGCACAAGAGAGGCATGGTTGGCACAGAGGAGGGCTCAGGTGGAAAGCATCAGGCCACACATTTTTCTCTCAGGGCATCCCGCCCCAGATGATTCACGCAGATAACTGAGTTACCTGTCTACAGAGCAGACGTCCCTGCAGCCAAGTTTACAAGACTTGAAGCTGCTCAGAAACGGAGAGAGAGATCCTGTTATGGCTGCCCTCAGGCGGCCTCTCTGTATCCCTGGTCCCTGAGAGAGGCAAGTGTTCAAATACATGTTTGCTGATTCGGAATGAACTGGGACAAAATCCAGATTCACTATTCAAAGTGATGTTCAGCAGTCATTTTGCTTTATGGGATTTTTATTGCCATGTGCTCCTCCTTGTTCCTGGTGAAGGCATGTGAGGCCAGGGAAAGGATGGCAATTTGTGGAGGCAGACAGACCCCGGCTTTATCTTAACTGTCTCCTGCACACTGGTGACCTCACCTCTGTTTCCTCTTCTCCAAAATGGAATTGATGAGTAAGAGCCCTCTTGCACTGTCTGGCAGGGTGGCCTTAGTAAGTAGTAGCTATCATATTTAATATCATTATTATTATCATTAACATACATTTATGTCTTGGCTCCTATTTTTTGTTTTTTTTTTCATTTATTTTTATTAGTTGGAGGCTAATTACTTTACAATACTGTAGTGGTTTTTGCCATACATTGACATGAATCAGCCATGGATTTACATGTGTTCCCCATCCCGATGCCCCTCCCGCCTTCCTCCCCTTGGCTGCTGTTTTATAAAGGCTGGAGGAGTGATGCTGAAGATGAAGCTCCACTGCCTGGGCTACCTGATGCTAACAGGAACCGACTTAGCCTAAGGGAAGAGACCCTTAGGCTGGGAAAGATCGAAGCCAGGAGGAGAAGGGGGCGACAGAGGATGAAATGGCTGGATGGCATCATCAACTCAACAGACAGGAGTTTGAGCACACTCCCGGAGATGGTAAAAGAAAGAAGAACCTGTGTGCTGCAGTCCATGGGGTCGCAAAGTCAGGCACCCGGCAACAGTAACAAAAAGGCTGACTGGGGAAGGCCTCTACAGACACTCATCAGCAATAAAGCGCACTGTTACCGTCAGCTGCTCAGCCGCGTCCGCCCCGTGACCCCACAGACTCTAACTCACCAGGCTCTGCTCTCCGTGGAGTTTTTCAGGCAAGAATACTGGAGTTACAGTAGCCACTCCCTTCTCCAGGGGATGTTCCCAACCCAGTGATCAAACTCAGGCTTCCCACACAGCAGGCAGATTCTTTACCATCTGAGCCACCAGGGAAGCCCCATAAAGCACAATATACATTATCAAATCCCTGAGGTTTGAGTTTGTAATTAACTTTTACCTGTAAACTGGCAAAAAGAGCCAAGAGATCGATTCGGTCAAGAAAGGAAGCACAGATATGCATTTCGATATCGCCAAGGTCAAACATAACCCTCCCTATGTAGGTGGGACATCCGAGGGCCAGCGAGGAGGCCTTTGGCCATTCCATACAGGGCAGCCGGCTGCAGGCCTCGGGGCCTTCTCCCCAGAGCGGGCCAGGGAGGGGCGGGGCTCCTGAGGGTGGGGCCTCCTCGCTGTGCCGCCTCTTGAGCTGCATGGGGACAGAAGGCACCCTGGACTCTCTGTCTTCTTGCTTGTGCAAGGACCCAGGCTGGTGAGACAGGTCCTGAACCTAGGCTCTCTTCAAACCAGTTAACGTCATGTGCTCACCCAGCCCGCAGCCACTCCTCCAAAAACAATGCACACTTCAGCAGGGAAGCAGAAGGCTGGTGAGGCAAAGCAGACCCCACCAGGCCAAAGTCAATATGACAGGGAATATATGCTGGGGGTTCTCTGTACTTCACCTGTAGGCTGGACAAAGCCTCCCAAGGAGAGAACCTAACGTGAATGAGGTGGGCAGGAGCCACGGAGACACCTACTGCAGCGCACACACCTCTGTAACTGCTCTGCTTGTGGCAGCCACCCTGCTTGGCAGGAGACCCCAGAAGCCCCATCCCACCCACACCCCAGCCCCAGCCAGGGGTGGCAGGCCCTGCCCCACCCCGCCCCCTTGGATACCTGGTTGATTTCATCTTGAGTGGAGTTTAGGGACTTGATGATGGTTTCCAGTTGAACTTTCCCAGCCTGGATGCTCTGCTCCAGCTGTGTCTCCTCCTGCTGCAGTCGGTTCAGCTCAGATTTGGCCCGGTTCAGGTCGTCTTCCTGGGACTTGAGGTCAGATTCCTGAGACTGGATCTGTGTCTTCAATGAGGAAATCTGAAATGAGATGAAATGTGACTTCGAGGAAGAATTCTGGTTCGTGTTTCTTGAGATGAGCTGACCCAGGGAGGGAGATACCAGCCCCAAAATGTGGACGCCGGGCTTCCTTACAGGGACCCCCTCTCCACACGTGGGAGAAGCATCGGCAATCTGACTGACTTGGGGCTGAACATCCCCTTGTCTCAGAGATCTGCTGAGGTCACAGCCTTCCTGCTTTGTGACAAGCAGCAAAGACACCCGGGGGAGGTGAGACGGGCATGCTGTCGCCCGGGCCCGGGTGGGGTGTCCACACATAGGTTCACACTTACATGTGTGACAAGGCGGGTAAGATGGAGGTCAGGCCACAGATGCTTGGACACTTTCCCAAATGATAGGTTCAACTACTCTACTAAACCAGTAGGATGTCTCAGCCTTGATTCCAGGTCATGGTGAGTTCAGGGAAGTTCCTAAAAAGCCTTCTCCTCCTGCTGGGCTGGGGGTGTGGAGAGATAATGACTTACCATCTGGGTCTCGTCCTGGCACTTCTGCCTGACGTCACTAAGCATGTCTCGAAGCTTGGCCTTCTGCTGGTCCATTTCATCCAGGCGGTCTTGGGCATCCTGTTTTTGAGCTTCTAGCTCTTGCAGACTGCTTGTTTCCCGGTCTAAATCATTTTGTAATTCCTAGGGAAGGGTCACATGAATTTACCTGAGACTCATTAAAATGGGGGCACGTCCAAGCCAACTGTCACAGCCAAGGCCGGAGCCCCCAAGACAGCCTCCAGGGACTTCCCTGGGGGTCCAGTGGCTGGGACTCCGCGCTTCCACTGCAGGGAGCCAGGGTTCAATCCCTGGTTGGGGAACAGAAGATCCTGCATGCTGTGTGGTACGGCCAAAAAATAATAAAAATCATTTACAACAGAAAGATGGCCTACGGAACCATCCATGCCACAGCGAACAATGCACACACCCCAGCGTGGCGGCCCCAGATGACTCTCTCACTAAGGCCCTCAGGAAGCATTTACTGACATCCTAAGAGAGGCCAGGCAGCAGCAGGGGCGGGGTTCCTGGCAAGACGACCTCTCCAGTGACTGGTGGTCATGAGGGGAGGGAAGAGGCATCACTCGGACATAAGTGAGCAGAGACGAATGGACAGCCTGGGTGCTGTCGGAGTCGCAGGGGCGTGGGGAGAACAGACCGACCCTGCACGGGTGGAAAAGAGCCCAGGGAAGCGCACTTCAGTGGACCCAAAGGATGAGCAGGTGGCAGCCGGGAAAAAAGCCAGGAAGGTGAAGAGAAGATGGGGGGCCACAGAGGACCTGTAAGAGAAGTGGGTGCCGTGCTCTCCCTGGATCAAAGGAGAGCAGGCTGAGAGCACCAGAGGCCACGTGCCACGCCAGAGATGCCACTGGCTTCTGCAGCCAGAAGCCCCTGCGGATGTCCAAACACGGCAACAGGACATGATGGTTCCCAACTGCTAAAGCTCCTCCAAGTGGGGGGAGCCTGGCTCCAAGACAGACAATGCAGGTGTCCTCGGACTTGACTGTTAAGACTTCTAGGGGAAGGATCCTAGAGGTGGAAGGGTGAGTGTGAAAACGTGCACTGTCTATGACGGCAAAATCTGAAAGCGATGCAAATTTCCAAGTGGAGCTGGCTGGACTTTCAGCACAATGCACCCTGAGGGGCACAGCACCTCGCAGCCAAGTTACAGAGAAAAAAGAAAAAGGCATGCGGCAGAGCATGCACCTGTGAGGCACACCAGCACTTGTGCACACAGGAAGGCAAGAATAGGCACAGACATCTCTCCTTAAACACACACAAGAGCTTTCTGCAAGGCCTTGTGGGAGCTGATGGACTGCGCCTCTGGGGGAAAGGGGGTCGGGGGTAGGAGGCATCTGTCTTATTTTCAACCAGGTGAACGTCACATCTACCTGTAAGGTAGAGAACTAAGAGACACAGGATGGGAGGGGAGAATGCGGCCTGAGGCTGACAAGAAGAAGCAGTGGCGGAGGGGAGGGCACTCAAGCTGGGGCCGAGGGCAAGGTGGGGGCTGGAGGACTCGAGGGAAGGGGTGGACTCGAGGTGACCGCTGGGGGGTCAGGGAGACAGGAGTGGTGAGACCGAGCCCCAGGACTGGCTGGGGCTGCCAGAGGCTGACGTCCCTTCAGAACACAACCCAAAGGAGGTGCAGGGTCTCCGTCTCCCCGCTTTTTTAGTTTTTAACGGAGTATTTCTTCATTCATTTGGCCGCGGCGGGTCTTGGCTGTGTCGCACGGGACCATTTGAGGCTGTGCGCAGACTCCAGCTGCGGCACCTGGGCATGTGGGCTCTCAGTTCCCCGGCCAGGGAGCGACCCCGCACCCCCGCACTGCAAGTCAAGACTTGACCACTCGACCACCAGGGAAGTCCCTACCCCTCCCTGCTCTGAGGACAAAGGGCCGTGGCTTGCTCCTCTTTGTCCGCCAAAGCACATCTCTGAGTTATCCATGGGACTGGGTTTCCTGCTCCCCAGTCTCCTTGTCCCTGACCTTTAATTTGAAGAATAGACCTTGAGTGTGACAAGTCTGGAAGGGATAAAATCAAATGTTTTTGAGAGAAGGCTAGTAGCAGAGTAGAAACGTGGGTCTGCCACATCCGAGGGAAGGACAAGTGATGGTGGAGGCGGGAGGGTCAGAGGAAGGAAGCAGGAGGGTCAGACCCAGCAGCTTGGACAGAGGGACGTCAAGAAATCTGGGCCTCTTTCTGTAATGCAAAAGCAGTCGTGGAGGAGCCCAGGGGAAGACAGGCTGTCAGCTGCTGGTTAAGAAGGATGCCGCGGTCAGAGTGGAGGAGATATCTGAGCAAAGAGAAGACAGAAAAAAAAAAAAACCCCAGACAACCTACAGACCCAGTTCAATCCCGACTGGAATGCCTGCCATCTTCTGACAGGCAGGCTCCAAGATTCAAAAGGAAATGCACGGGATCCAGAACAGACAAAACAGCCTTAAAAAATCCGAAGTTGAGGATGCATATTTTCCAATTTCAAAACTTACTAGAGAGGAACAGTAAGCAAGACAGTGTGATTCTGGCATAAGGAGAGACAGGAATCAATGGGACAGAACTGAGAGTTCAAAAACAAATCCACATATCTATGACCAATTGATTTTTGAAACGGGTGCCACAACAATTGAGTGAGGGGAAAAAAAAGAGCAGTCTCGTCAAGAAAAGGCCCTAACTCTAACTGGCCCTCCTCGTGCAAAACAATGAAGTTGGACCCCTACCTCACATGATATGTAAATATTCACTCAAAATGGATCAAAGACGTAAATTTCACAGCTAAAACTACAAAACTCTTATAAATGAATGTGGGGTAAATCTTTGTGATCTTGGATTTGAGAATGGGTTCCTGGATATGACACCAAAAGAGCAGCGACTTCCCTGGGGGTCCTGTGGTTAAGACTCCTCACTTCCAGTATAGAGGGTATGGGTTCATCCCCAGTTGGGTAACTAAGATCCTATAGGCTGAGTGGCACAGCCAAAAAATTAAAAAAAAAAAAAAAAGCAAAAAATGGAACAAATAAGCCAGACTTCATCAAAATTTAAAACTTTTGTGCTTCAAAGGACCACCGTCAAGAAAGTAAAAAGACGACCCCAGGATGGGGGCATGATATTTGCAAATCATATACCTGGATAAGAGAATTTATCTGGAAAATATAAAGAACTCTTACAACTCAGCTACAAAAAGGCAAATAATGCAATAAAAAATGGGCAAAGGATATGAGTTGGCCTTTCTCCAAGAAGATACACAAATGTCCAATGAGCACATGGTAAGATGCTCACCATCATTAGGGGAAGCGTTATGGGCAGTGAGATACCACTCCAGACCGACTAGGAAGGTTATTAAAAAAAAAAAAACACACACACAGGACTAACATCAAGTGTTGGTGAGGATGTGGCAAAACTGGAATCCTTATGCATTATTACTGGTGAGAATGAAATATGGTGCAGCCACTTTGGAAAACAGTCTGGAATTTCCTCAAGGGTTAAACACAGAGTTACCAAGTGACCCAGCAATTTCACTCTTAGATATACATACCCAAGAGACGTGAAATCACAGGTCCACACAAAAACCTGCACATTAATATTCATAGTGGCATCATTTGCAATAGCTAAAAAACAGAAAAACCCAAATAGCGATGAACTGGTGAACAGATGAATACAGTGTGGTACAGCCACAAAATGAAGCATTTATTCAGCTATTAAAAAAAAAAAAAGAAGGGGCTTCCCTGGTGGCTCAGTGGTGAAGTATGTGCCTGTAAATGCAGGGGACATGGGCTCAATCTTTGGCCCGCGAAGGTCCCACATGCAGCAGGGAAACGAAGCCCGTGCACACAACTTCTGAGCCTGTGCTCTGGAGCCCGCGGGCCGCAGCTACTGCAGCCCGCGCTCCGCGGCAGAAGCCTGAGCAGCCCAACCAGACAGCAGCTCCCGCTCACCGCAGCTGAAGAGGCCCACACGCAACAACAGAGACCCGGCACAGTTAAAAATAAACAAACAAAATATAGAATAAAAATAAACAAAAAACAAAAGATAGATAAATAAATCTTTAAAAGAAGAAAGGAAGCACTGATACACGCAACATGAATGAACCTTGAAACGATGCTGAGGGAAGAGAGGCCAGACACAAAGGCCCACAGTGTATGACTCCATTGACAGGAAATGTCCAGAACAGACAAATCCAGAGACGGAAGGGACACTGGTGGATGCCAAGGGCTGGGAAGGACTGGGGACAGCTAATGAGTATGGAGTTGCTTTTTGGAGGGAGAATGTTCTGTAATTGACTGTGGTGACGGCTGTGCCACTTCGTGCATATTCTAAAAGCCACTGAATTATACACTTTAAATGGATGAACTGTAAGGTATGTGAGTTACATCTCAATAAAGCTGTTGTCAGAAACACAAAACAGAACAGTAAACCATGTAAAGATGCCAAAGGATCTCACTAGGACGATAGTCATGGAAATGGGAGAGACCCCCTCAGGCAGGAAGGGGAAGGGGAGGCCTTTGGGGACTGAAGCTGAAGCTCCCATTGCTTAAAACCAAACATAAACTGGCCCGAGGACCAAGGCCTCCTCGTCAATGCTGGGCCCTATCCTAGAGCCCATGCTAGCAGGTGTGACATATGATTTCCTCGTCAAACCCATCTGGGAAAAGGCAACAGGAACCGGAGTCAGACCTGGTTTTCACAAAAGAGCTTTAGTACATATAGTGTTCTGAGGGGACCCTGGTGGTCCAGTGGTTAAGACTCTGCCTTCCAACGCAGGGAGCACAGGTTCAATCCTTGGCTGGGGAAGTAAGATCCCCCATGCTGCACATGGCATGGTCTGAATAAACAAACAGTGTTCTGTCACTGCCTAAGGAGCTGCCATCTCGTTAGAGTAGAGCCCCGTCCTGGTCTGAGTACAAACGAAGCTCCCAGGCAGCAGGGGCTGGCCTGGATGGCGCTGGCCCCGCTCCAGCTCCGAAGAGCTATGGGGGTGCACAGGGACACCACGTCTTGAAGGCTGCAGGAGTATGCTGTCAGAGCCTGGCAGCGAGGTTCTGGGGGGCCTCATGCAGCCTGCTGTGCAGACCAAGGGGACAGCAGCTCCAGACATCAGACCGACCCGACAGCTTTCTCGGAGTTGCGCAGGAGCAGGTCAGAGACCTAGGGACTGGCTTCCCTTGAGTTCAAGGACGTCACAGCACCCAGATCCCCAGGGACAGAAGCCCGTACAGAGTGACAAAGGCACGAGAGGGAGGACCGCCCAGGCATTCGTGTGGCTGGCTGGGCCAGGGCCAGGGTGAGCTGGAAGATGAGACCAGCGTCCCTGCACCAAACAGCATGGAGGGTCAGTGATACAGGAGGGTGAGAACTGAGTCTGAGGGAGGGCAGTTCCCGGACACGGGTAGGAATCAGAGGGCTGAGGTGAGAGTAATACACCAGAACGAACATGCAAACACCCAAAAAAATAGAGTCCCTTCACGTGGCCTCATATATGATGCAGCTTATTTGAGCCGAAAAAACAAAACAAAAAATATGACAGAGGCAGGCTGTTCCCTGCCTTTTGATCCAAAACATGCCAGGGGACTATCTAAGGCCCAACCCCCGATGCCAACGTGTACAAAGTGAGAAGCCAGGAAAGAGTCTGGACACTGCAGTGTGGGGACCAGTGAGAACCACCCTACCCCAGCTGTAGACGGAAGCTGCAACAGAGGACACTTCCTGCCTGGTGAGCGGGCGCTGCACGCGTCTGTCCGCTGGGTGTCTCATGACATCCCCCAGCCCTCGTGTGACAGGGGACGGGGAGGGGGACAGAGTGCTACCCAGACCCTCGAGCCTCACTGAGTCAGGTGCTGCCTCCCTGGCTTGGCTCAGGCCGCCGCCCTAGGAGGCGGCCCAGAAAGAACCAGCCACTGCAGGGTGGTGGGAGAGCGCTGCTCCCCGCAGCCAGGCGGGAAGACCGAGGCGGGGAGGCTGTGCCATGCGCCTGCAGTCTCCCAGGTGAGCCACGGTGGGGCCACAGTGCTGAGTGCTCTGCCTCACTCCTCTCCCCAGCTCTGAGCTCAGAGCACTCAGAGGCCCCACACAGAGACCAGCAGGCCCAGCAGTACGATTCTCAGGGGAGCGGGGGCACAGACAACTCGCATCTCCCCCTGGTGGCAGAGCCATTCTCTGTTCATCCAGACCTGAGACGTCTTGGGAACCAAGGTGTCTTGGAGCGTGCAGCTCCCAGGCACTGACCACTGCGTTTCCAGCACAGCCTTACTCTGCCCAGACGAGTGAGCGCGGCGTGCCTGCCAGACCCCGGGCACAAGCCCACGGTCCGGAGGAGCGGAACACTCCTTACCAATGTTGCATAAAGCCTAGAGATGTTACATAACTTGCCCAAAGGCACACAGCTGCTAAGATGAGCCAGGTTTGAGCCCTGGCACTCAGACCCCAAACAGCTGACTCAGAGGAAATGACCCTGATGCTTGGAAAGACTGAAGGCAAAAGGAGAAGGCGGCAGAGGATGAGATGGCTGGAGGGCATCACCAATTCAATGGACATAAACTTGGGCAGACTCCAGAAGACGGTGAGGGACCGGGAGGCCAGGCGTGCTGCAGTCCGTGGGGCTGCAAAAAGGCGGACCCAACTGAACGACTGGAAAACAACTCAGACCCCCAGTGTCCACCATCACCACCCTCTGCAAGGAGACTCTCCCGGCAGGGCTGTCCAGAGGACAGGTTAGATAGCATTGTCTGAACCTCAGAGCTTCAGGCTAAGCGAGAGAAACCAGACATCAAAGACGGGATGTAGTATGATTCCCTTTCTGTGAAATGTCCACAACAGGCAAATCCACAGAGACAGAAAAGAGCTCATCAGGGGCTAGACAAGGAGATAGGGAGTCACTGCTAATGGAGATGGGATCTCCTTTTGGGGTGATGGAAATGCTCTGGAGCTAGACAGAGGTGATGGTTAAGCAATATAAAGACTATGCTAAGAACGACTGAATTAATACGCTCCAGAAGAAGGGATGCCATGTTGTGTGACCGTCTCATTTTTTTAAACCCACTATGCATAGCTACAGGGAACTGAGAACAAGCCGCGTGCAAGCCCGCGCAGCCCGAGCCCCCAGCGAGTGCCGCGCTGCCCCCGCCTGCACGACTACGCCCGCCGGGCGCCCCTGAGCCACACCTGGCACAAGGCCCGTCCTGCCAAACCCAGCTGCGCGCTCACCTGTACTTCACTGGCTTTCTGTCTGATGGCCTCTTCCTTTTCCCGGATGTCTTGCTCCAGTGAGTATTTCTCTCTGGGTTTGAACAGTCCATGAAAGCAGAGAGACGGCATGAGGAGGGAGCGGGCCATCTCCCCCACACTTCTCCCCAACGACCATCTGCTTTCAGTCACCCCCTCCCCCCAAGCGTGGGTGGAACCTGTGGATGCCACAAGGCTTGGCCCCCAACACGGTCACGTGAGCCTTTTAAAGTAGAGGGTGTTGGAGTGAGGCCCAGGGGGAGAAGGGCTGGACGTGCCTCTGGCGACTCTGAAGATGGAGGGGTCACAGGAGAGGGGCACAGGGCTGCCCCTCAGAGCAGAATGGGCCCCACCGACATACAGCAGGAAGGGAGGCCCCAGACTCCCAGCTCTGAGGAACCTGCACAGCACCCTGGACTCGGCCCTGTGAAGCCCTGAGCAGGGGCCCAGCTGAGCCCTCCTGGAGTCCCGGTCTGCAGAGCTGTGCATAAAAATGAATCTGTGCTGTTTTAAGCCATTCCACACACAGCAAGAGAAAATGAACATGCCCTTGGTGTGCCTGCTCATGAATGGTGAGCGCCTCCTCCTCAGAAGACCGAGCGTTAAGGACATGTGGAAAGGGGCCTGGCCCTCACGGAGCTCACAGGGGACAGATGAACACACAAATGCACACAACCTATGTACCATGCAGGGAAGTCCAACGGGATAAGGAAAGGGGGTGGGAGTGTCCTGCAATGGGCGACCAGGAACGACTGAGGACGTGGCCTGTGAGGAGAAAATGTGACGGAAAAACATTCCTGTCAATGGGCACAGGAAGGCAGAGCTCAGAGGGGGAGCCACGGTTGAGTCCAGACTGATGCAAAGTGGGCTAGGGACTCCAGAGGGCTGGCCGCAAGGAGTGGCGGGGAGGGTCTCTGAGCCCGGCTACTCCTCACAGGAGGCTGCGGTGGGCTGCCACGCACACCAGGGACCTGCTGGGGCCTTGTCTGCCACCTCAGCAGCAGACCACTCCCCACCCCCGGCAGCAACCAGTCTGGCTCTCCTGGAAGACAAAGGCTGTGTGTCCCTCCCCCAAATTCAAACAGTGAAATCCTAACCACCCCCGTGAGGGTGTTAGGACCTGCGGCGTTGGGAGGAGATTGGGTCATGAGGACAGGGCTCCCAGGAAGGGGATTAGTGCCCTTACAAGAGACCCCAGAGACCTTCCGTACCCCTCCACCATGGGAGAACACCCCAAGAAGACGCTGTCTGTGGACCAGGAGACACACCATACCGGACACCGGATTCATCTACACCTCTATCTGGACCCCCAGATGTGTCTACTGTTTAAGCCCCTTCAGCCTGGGGCGGCCTGTTACAGCGGCCTGAATGCACCAGGTGCCTGAAGGGGCTGCCTCCATGTCGGAAACCTCATGTGGCCCACACACCCCACCTCCCCTGCCAGGAACCCAGCACTAGCTTGATAACAAGGCCTCCTCGGGGTCGCTGGGTCAGACATGAAACAACCGTGAGAGCTTGCATATTCATTCCTCCAAGTCTAAGGACCACCTAACAATACAATGTCCCCTTCCGGTCCATTACGACTGGGTCGTGTCTCCAGGGGAGAGGCGCATTTTCGCCACGCTGCCAGGCAACAGGCCTGAAGGTCACTCTCGAGGCCACCCAGGCCCGGCTTCCTGCATACACTTGCTCTACACACACTTGCCTCTCACCTTCACAGGGAAATGCTCCAGGCTGCCCGAGGCTACACAGCTGTGCAGAGGAACTCCTGGCCTGACTCAGACACCAAGACCCCAACCCTCACGTTACAGGGTCCCCTCCCTCCTCTATCTGCGGTCCTGATTAACAGTCTCACCCCGGCTCTAAGAAACTGGCCCTCCATCCTCACAGACCCTCTCTGCCTTGCCAGGCTACCTGCGCTGACCTCTGGTTTGGAAATACGGCCCTGGGGGAGCCGGGGACAGAACAGGAGCTGTATTCTGGGCTGACACGAAGCGGAGAATCTGGCTTCAGGGGCAGCCAAGGCTGAGCTGAGCGGCCAGCCAGGTGTCCACCCGACTGGTCTCCCACGACGCCTGGTCTGCCTCTGCCTCCCACCCAGGGGCGCCCGCTGTAAGCATGGTCTCACTTGCTCCGGCAAAGGGACACCGTTTCCACTTTCGGCCCAGACACACTCCCTTTCTGGTGGATGGCGGGGTGCCCTTGGTCCTTCCGCTGGCTAAGCCCCACTCCCCAGCCCTTGGAAGTGACGAGAGCCCACCCCCCACCCCCAGAATTAGCTGGTAAGACAATGCTGCTGTACAGAAGACCACAGGGCACACCGCAAGTAGAAGTCTGCTCTCAGCCACATGCTGAGAGGACAGACACACCCGCCAAAGCCCTTCTTTACAGGTGGGCGCTGGGAGTGAAGGTGGAAACCTGGACCCAAGGCCTCTCAGAGTTCAGTGGTTCCTCCTAAGTCACAGGCTCACTACCTGAGGCTAGCTGCTTTACATGTTTGGATATTACAACGCCTTCCTGCAGAGAGGATGGGGTGCCCTCAGTGCCGGAGACCCCACAGCCCACACTGGCTCCCACTGAGGAGGTCAGGACTTGAGCTCATTAAGTCAACTCAGGAATTTGGGAGAATCTGTGTCCCTTTGCTCCTGCTCAGCAAACTCATGATGGCCAAGTTGAGAGGCAGTCCACAATCCTCTGCTGCTTGCAATGTTAACCTGGGGAAACAGGCTGGAATCGGAGGGGAAGGGGACATTTTAGCATACCTCTGTAACTGGGTGATCTCTTGACTGATGTCGTCAAGTTCCTTCACACCGGTAAACTCCCCCGATCCAAGAGTGCTTGAACTATCCTGGAACCAAATTCAGGCACAGAATTACAAACTGGCAAGATGACCTCATAAGACAGCAGGGGCGACAGGTCTTGGAATGAGGTGTAAAATCATTCATCTCCAGCCCCCAACCTGGAAACCATCTGGGCAGTCCCAACACACCCGGCGGGCCCCTGGCGAAGGCTGGGCAGACCGCCAGCACCCGCCGGCGCCACCTGGTGGCGGGCTGAGGGGAGCGCCGCGAGCACTAGGGGAATGAATGGGAATGAACGGGCCTGCAGCTACTCACCGGGATGGGAGTGCCTCTCTCCGAGGGCGGCAACATGTCCGGCGAGAGGACTTGAGGGGGGTCGATGCCTTTACTGACCTTCTGCTGAATGAAATACATAGCTAACGCGAACTGGTCTTTGCTTAACTTCCCCGTTTGCCTCGTATCGGCCAGGGCCCTGGGAGAGACACGGCAACGCTATTACACACCACAAGCACCAGCATCGGTTCTGAGTACGAGGAACCCACACTTCTGAACAACGGACCAGGACAGTAACTGGAAACACCGGAGCACAGCTGCGCCTCCTTTTCACTGAGAGCAGCCCCCGCCACGGCAGCCCCCGGCCCAGGCGCCAAGGCAGGAGGGCGCTCCTCTGCGCTGGAGAACCGCCTCGGGCCCACACACCGAGCCACCAGGGCCGGGAGAGAGCCCACTGAGTGTCTCCACCAAAGGCTGGTTTACAGACATCTTTGTTCTCGCTTCCACTCAAGCGCAGGACAGGAAAGCTTGAACCGCAACTATTTCTCCCGGTGCTCCTGGCGAGGGCCAGTCTGCAGCGTGCCCAGCCCACAGCGGCTCTCAACCTGCAGTCTCGTCTCTCCGGTCCGCCCCGCTTCCTGGTCACTGAGGGCGCAGGGGCTCCAGCCCACATGTTGGGGCTGCTCTGTCCGAGTCCACTCGGGCAGCGTCGCTCCGCTTGTCCTGACAGGCTCCCTGGGCGCTTGCAGGGGGCAGGCCCGCATCCTTGTGTGCTCCCTGCAATCCTCCCTGGCGTGTTATCCCCACTTAGTCTCGCCCCCCCACCCCCAGCCGCCCCAGCCTGTCCTCCCACTGCGCGGACGGCCAGTCTGGAGCTCGCTCTTCCGGTCCTCGGCCTGCACTCTGTATGTCATCCCTCCCACGGGCCCTCCTTTAATCCGAGTATACCTGTGACTTCGTTGTGTCACTTGTGAGTCGGCCCTTACAGGTCGAGATCCATGTTATAAATTACCTTCCTTTACATGATCATCGGGCCATGCCTTGAATCCCGTTCACAGGCACTTCAGCACCCGAGGCGCAGGCCGCCCGAGTCGTCACCAGGAACTGGGCCTCCCCCAGTGACTGACTGGGAGGCACGTGCTCCCTGAGGAGGCACAGTCCGTTTTCTCAGTTGGGACCTCGCCTCACAATGCGGCCATCTCTCAGTTGTTGCAAAGGACAGTTATTTCCCCCAGTCACTCCCAGTGAATGTCACAGCTCTGTCAGGAGGGCTTCACCGCTCCAGCTGCACGGGAACTCTCTGACAGCTCCCAGGTAAAGCCCTCTAAGGGAGGGCTCACCCCTGGAGAAGACAGCTGGGAAGTGGTTGCCACTGCCGGCCATCACAAGGCCATGAAGACTGTCCTGACAGCCCGGGAGGGAACAGGCCCTGACCGGTCCTGAGATGCAGGCTGGAGCCTCCCTCTCCCTACCCCCATGTCACTGGCCTTCACGGGGCACGGCCTCTCAGGCATGTGGCCGCAGCCCTGAGGCCCAGGGTGGCCCTGCTGGAGCCTTCAGCATCCTTACTGCTCACAGCACCCCCGAGGGGCCGGGGTCAGGCACCTATCGCTCCACTGGCTGTGCTGAAAGCTGCAGGACCACCAGCAAGAACTGGCCCTGGCCATTCAGATCGCCTCTGAGCTCCCCAGGGGGACAAAACAGGAAGCCTTCCCACTGGAGGAGACTATGTGGACACACATAGAATACAGGGAATAGCCCTCACACTTGGCCCTGACAGCCACCCGCTCCAGCCTTGCCCACACACAGCACAAACCTCACTGGGAGGGTCAGTGAGGCCCCCAGTGCTGAGGAGCAGAGGTTCGTCGGTCCGCCCTTACCATATGTGTGCTAGAAGGTTCTGGGTGAGGCCCGAGTGCATGAAGATCTCCTTCACCTCCTGGCCGCTCACATAGCCGTCCAAGTCCAGGTCGGTCTTCAGGAAAATCTCGTCAAATCGCATCTTATCCGCCACTGGCACCACCCAGTTTACTGTTGGCTGAAAGGGGTTTTCAGAAGTTAGTCAAGCTTTGGGACTTCCCTGGTGGCTTGGTGGTAAAGAATCTGCCTGCCAATGCAGGAGACATGGGTTCAATCCCTGGTTCAGGAAGACCCCAGGTGACATGGAGCAGCTAAGCCTTTGTGCCACAACTATTGAGCCCGTGCTCGAGGGCCCAGGAATCGCAATGACTGAAGCCCTAGAGCCTGTGCTCCGCAACCAGAGAAACCACTGCAATGAGAAGTCTGCGCGCTACAGCCCTGCTCTCCACGAGAGAAAAGCCTGAGTGTAGCGACGCAGACCGGGCGCAGCCAAAAATAAACTGTCATTTTTAAAAACATCCTCAGGCTTTTTATCACCTACAGGTATCACACTATTAAAGTCTTCTCATGCTCATTTCAGCAGAAGACCCTCCGTGAGATGAACGGGCAGACAGGATCTCTGGTCTGTAGATGGGAAAACTGAGGCTCGGAAAGATGAATGCTGACTCGGTCTGTCTCACCCAGTGGCCCGTCTGTGCCTCTTGCAACCCCATGACAGCACCCTGAACCTTTGTCCCAAGAGAAAGGTGAAGACCCAGCAGGCCTATCTGCCAACAGCCTGCCCACCCCCACTGCCTGGGACACAAGGGAAAGCTGGTAACCCGTCGGGGGGAGGCTTCACATGCAGCCGAGAGGACCCTCCTGATCGCTTGTTCTGCAAGGCCCGGCCCCTCGTCTTCCACCTGCAGGTGTTCTCTGCTGCCGCAGGGCCAGCCTCATGGCCTGCAGCTGCAGACCCTGCACTCCCTGAGACACAGCAGACCCCCTGGGAGGCGTCAGCACACACAAGGCACTGCCACGCAGTGAGTGGGGCTGATGTGCAAGCTGCACCCATGGGAGGGTGGGCCCCCAGAGTCCGCAGTGCTGGTGCGGGAGCCTGAGCCTCGGAGGAGCCCTGCTGCGGCGGACGCAGCTGAGAGCCTGGCAAAGTGTTGTGACTTCAGTGGTCTGTCACTCAGTACACATGTGACCCCTCCTCACATCACCTGCTGAAGTCCTACACAAGGAGGGCAGATGCCAGGGTCCACCAGGGCCAGGGCAGGGCTCCCCTGGTGCCTCATTGGTGAAGAGTCCGCCTACCAATGCAGGAGACATGAGGTTGGGGCCCCATAACTGGCCCTCTGGGGGCCCAGGTAGGGCTTTGCTCGCCTAGGGATGAGGAAAGTAGCAGGGATCAGGTCGGGGGGCGGCATGGAGTTTGTGGGTCCACAGAGATGCCTGCTCTCATATCTGTGATTCCATAAGCTACCCCTATTCCCGGGGAAGGGGACACACACACCCCCACCTCTGACCTCCAACCGTAGCCAGCAGTACACCGTCTAGTCGTGGAGGGGCAGGGGGAAGGTCAGCAGCAGCATGCTCCTGGGACCCGGAGAGAGCCGCCAAACCACCGGGGGAAGGAGGGGCTACCCCCATCAGCAACCTCAGCCCCACTTGTTTCCTTGTCAGTAAAACACACCACACACAGCCTAACCTATGGTACTTAAGAACTCTTGGCAAGAATTATGCAGACTCAAGGTCCTGGTCTGGGACTTCCCTGGTGGCACAGTGAAAAGGAATCCACCCGCCAATGCAGGGGACACAGGTTCAATCCCTGACTCGGGAAGATCCCACCTGCTGTGGATCAAGCAGAGCTGGTGCACCTAGAGCCCACACTCCCCAGCAGGAGCAGCCGCCACACGAAGGAGCCCGAGCACCGCAGTGAAGAGCAGCAACCGCTCACTGCACCTAGAGGAAGCCATGTGCACCAACAAAGACAGCACAACCACAAATAAGCAAAATAACTTTTAAAAGGTATTGGGTCTTGGAAAATAGCAGCTTGTGTAAGTCTAAGTTACTGGGCCCAGCCCCACCTCTCTGAGTCCACCTCACCATCTCCCGGCTCACCCTGTCCCAGCCTTCTTCCCGTTTCAAGGACACAGGGAATGTCCCCACTTCAGAGCTGGGACAGGCGCTAGTCCTAGGGTGGCTTCTGATCGTTCAGGTGTCAGCTCAGATGTCACCACAGCAGGGGCCTTCCAGCTGGCACCACCTGCAGGAGGGCGACCCTTCCTCACCCTGACACTTCCAGGCCAGGCCAAGTTCTGCTTTCTCAGGACTACTGGAGCTTCCTCAGTTTACCGATGTAAGCTAAGCTTATCATCTGAAGCTTAGTTTATCGTCTGTCTCCCCCGAGGGCAACCCCAGAAAGTACTGGGCACAGCTGGTAGGCTGGGAAAGGTGCCTGGGCCAGGCCAGCTGCAACTGCCCTTCATCAAGAGCCACACACAACTCACCAGTCGGAGGCCATGCCTCTCCAACGGGCTCCTAGGACTAAGCCTCCTCCTCCCTCTCTGATACCTTTTATTTTTCAACTCCAAGATACGTGAGCTCCTTGAGCCTCAATAAGTTGAAAACCGAGCTTTAAAGATACGTCACGATCACTGGAACTCCCCTGGTAGTCCACTGGCTAGGAATCCACCTGCCAATGCAGGGAACACGGGCTCCATCCCTGGTCCAGGACAATCCCACATGCCCTGGAGCAACTAAGCCCGTGCACCGCAACTACTGAAGCCTATGTGCCCTAGTGCCTATGCACAAGAGGAGCCACCACAATGAGAAGCCTGCTCACCGCAACAGAGTAGCCCCACTTGTCGCAACCAGAGTAAGTTCATGTGCAGCAACGACGACCCAGTGCAGCCAAACATAAATAAGACTGGGTTTTTTTTTCGAATGTCACTATCAAGAGACCTCACTGTCTTCTTACATGTTTCTCATTTTCATCATATTGCAAACATGCACATGCTGGTCTTCTTGTCACAATTCATTGCCTTTGAAACCACAAGTGAGGCAGAGATGGATCTCCTGTTCTTGTACATTTCAGACAATGTCAAAGGTGCCTTTTCATAAAAAGCCCCTTACGATGCTGCCACAGTGAGAAGCATCTTTTTTGACAAATAAGGTGCTACCATGTGGAGAGGTGGAGCCCCTCCTGTTTTCCTAACATGAGGCGGATGCCTCGCTCCATCATCTAATTACTCAACATGTATTTACCGAGCATCAAAGCACCAGAGATTCTTCTTGGCGCTGACATTATAATCAGGAAATAACTCTGCCTTCACAAACTAACAGCAGAGGGCCGGGGATGAGGGGGGACTTGAAGAGATGATACATAATTAACTGCAGACCAGGCCAGATGTGCAAGATCTAGAAAGCAAGTAGAGGGTCAGCAGTAGTCACACCAGGCTTTCCAGACAAGTGACCTGTAAGCAGAGGCTTTGCGATGCCGGGTGCCTTGGTGTGCAATCTGGGGTCTGCCTGGGGCAGGAGGGGTGGGGGGTGAGCAGAGAGCCCCGAGGTGGGAGCACACTCAGCGTGTTTGGGGAAAGGTGGTGTGAAGTGAAGTCTAAGTGAAGGAGAAAGTCAATTCTGCAGCCCTGTTGCTACGGGCTGAATGTCTGTGACCCCCTCAACTCATACACAAGCCCTCAGCCCCAGTGTGATGGTGTCTTAGGAGTGGCGGGGGGCCCTCCGGGAGGTGACTAGCTCGTGAGAACAGGGCCCTCACGAATGGGATTAGTGTGCCCTTGTAAGAGGGACCTCAGAGAGCTTCAGTTGTGTGAGGACACAGCGAGAGAACAGCCATCTGTGGGCCAGGAAGTGGCCCCACCAAACACCGCGTCTGCTGGCACCGTGATCTTGCACTTTTGCTCCCAGAAGTGAGAAATGAATCTGTTGTTTAGAAGTCACCCAGTTTATGGCATGTCACAGCAGCCAGATGGCCTAAGGCATGTGCTATACAGATGTGATTTAATCCCAGACTTTACCCCTCTCGGGCCACAAATGACTCACTTCTGAGCGGCCTCTTACTGGGACTCCACGCAGCAGCGCCAACAGCTGCTCTGAGGCGTGGCCGCATGCAGAGGGCTGTACCTGTGCTTGCTTGATGCTGTGCTTGGGAGACAAGCTTCCAGTGCTGTTGAGGCTGCTGACGCTGCCATGGGAAGGCGTGGAGCGGAGGCTGTCTTTTGGTGGGGGGCTGGCGGGCAGGACAGGCACGGCACCCGCGAACATTGTCTTCTTCCTCTTGGAGGGCGGGATGAGGGATGGGGGCAGGACGGAGGGCACAGGCTCCTTCTCGAGGGCTCGGTACACCAAGTGCATGGCCTGTGAGGACAAAAGAAGACATCTGGGGCACAAGGCCCAGGGCAGGTGGGGGGCAGCTCTTCCAGTGGCTCAGGGATGCCATGAAGACAGCTCTTTCTGAGGCTGCTTCCAAATGGAACGAGTGAAAATAAAACTTTTCTGATGAGCTATGCCACCAATGCATGATTTTCCAAGACATTGATTCAATCATACAACACTGAAATGAGTAAAAAAAGAGGGACTTCCCTGGTTGTCCAGTGTTAAGAACTCCACAGTCCCATTGCTGGGGCCCGGGTTTGATCTCTGGTCAGAGAACTAGATCCTGCATGCCACAACTAAGACCTGGGGCAGTCAAATATATTTGAAAAAAAAAAAAGAAATATAAAAATAAAGCATGAGGGGCTTGGGGATTAGTGTTTAATGGGGACAGGGCTTTAGTTCTGCCAGGTCAAAAAGCTCTGACGATGGATGGCAGTGATGGCTGCACAGCCACAAACCTAAACCTAAACCTAAAAGTGGCTATGATGATAAATTGTGTTACGTGTATTCTACCATAAATTAAAGAATAATAATGGACAGTCAGTGAAAAGAACAGGATGATAGAGACACAGGAAATGCTCAAAGAAGATGATGTGTGTTGGGGGAAAAAATCACAACTGAGCAGTGTGGGGTGTAAGGAATTATGAATGGAATCACATGAGAAATTTGTAATTTTCTTGGAAAATGTTTAAATTTAATCTAGAATTTTAAAATTTCAAAGGCTTTATACCACAGTATAGTAAGATAGTAATAAGCTTTAATTCATTTGTATGTTGTAAAATTTCATCTTAAATACATTTAGAATTCCTAAAACAGAAGATGGATATGGCTGTATTTCGTTGTTTTTCTATTACTTAGGAATTCCCAGATTATTCAGCAATTTTTTTTTTTGCTCAAAGTTAATCATGTGTGTGCTTTTTAGTCACTCAACCATGTCCAACTCTTCGCAACCCCATGGACTGTAGCCTGTCAGGCTCCTCTGTCTATGGGGCTTCTCCAGGCAAGAATACTAGAGTGGGTTGCCATGCCCTCCTCCAGAGGACCTTCCCAACCCAGGGATCAAACTCAGGTCTCCCTCACGACAGACAGATTCTGTACCGTCTGAGCCACCAGGGGAGCCCTGAACTTAATTACTACTTATTAAAGCACTGTCCTTAACTATAAGGAGCTACTTCATTCTATTTTTGTTTGACATTTAATGAATGAGATGAGTGAATAAATGTCATAAAACAGAGAGAAAGAGCAAAGATGCGAATGAGGAGGAGGGAAGGGAGAAAGAAAAAGAGGGGACGAAATGACACTGGCCCAGGGTGGGGAGAGGGGGCCAGGCAAAGTCAGCCCAGCAGGCAGCTGGGAGAAGTGGGTGGGGAGCTGCAGGGGTGTGGAGGAAGGGCAGCTGTATAGGAAGGCAGCCCACGGGACCTAAGAGCCCCCAACTACACAGTGATCTAGCACTGCTGCTAAAGGAGAAGAGGGCAGGAGTGTCAGGGATCTGGTATGGACAGAAGCCAGCACGGAAGTGTCGCGACACCCGGTGGTCATGTCTATACACACCCCTGCTTCCCAGCTCTGTCTGCTGAAAGGGCCAGAGGAAGCCGTGGCATCCCAGGGGCCACTGAGCACTCCAGAGCCCAGACCGTGGTCTCTAATACCCTTCTCCACTATAAGGAACTGGGGGTCCCGGAGAAATGGCTGATAATGGAGTTGAGAGAATGGGTACACAGCAAGAGCCGGGAACATCGCATCATGCAAGGAGTTGGGCTGCAAGGAGCTCCCACCGGCCAAAATAAACATGCAAGTAAAGGATTCTAAACCACAGAAGAGAGAACAGGAGACACGTCCCTAAGTGCACTGTGATGTGAACAAATCCCTCGCAGTAGAGTGTGAGCTAGAAAATGTACAAGGAAGGACAGAACCAGAAAACCCTCATCAGGCAACTCTCAGAAACCTGACCGATTCGGGTGAGACTCCTGGGAGGATGCGACAGCTAGCAGGTGAGAGGTGCAAGGGTACAGGGTGTTCAGGTCTCTCATGGAAGACAGAGCACAAAGGAAAACAGTAACTGCGGAGGGAATCCCGAAGCCTCCACCTGACCTCGGTCAGGGTGACATCAAGGTAGAAGATGTGTAATAAGACATCACACGTCCTATTGATGGCCTGTGCCCTGCAGAGAACAAGTACAAGCGCCGGATCATCACGAGGAAACAGCAGACAACCCCTCACCAAGGGACGCTCTACAAACCACTGGCCCTAAAAATGCCCACACGACCACGAGATAGGAAGACAGTTGCAGGAGCTGACCTAGATTACAAGAAACAGGACTAGAGACACACGAAGCTGGAGTTTCCTTCACTATAAAGGACATTTTGGGGAACAACTGGCAAAATGTGAATGATATCCTTAGATTAGACAACAGATTAATAAAATAATATACATAATATATATACATGTATATCTGCAAAGCATATATGGTATAACCTATAATAACAGATACTACAATAAATTACACAATGTCAATGCCAATTTGCTGATCTTGAATTAGACAGTGGTAACAGAATCCTCTAGCTTGGGGATATACACACTGAAGTATTTCAAGATGAAAAGGCCCATGTTTAAAACTCTAAAATGGTTCAAAGGAAAAATCAATGTGTGTGTATATATGCCTGTATACCTTCATATGCAAATGAGAGGAGAGAGCGGGGCAAGGAGTGGAAGAGAAGGAGGGAGAAAGAAAGTCACTGTAGTAAAATGGCAACAATGGGAATCTGGGCGAAGATGCAAAACAATTCTGTCAAATTAAACCCAAATTATGTCAAAATAAACATTTTTTTAAAAAATTAAACAAGAGGAATCTCTTGGTGGCCCAGCAGTTAAAGATGCTGCTTTTCCAATGCAGAGGGCACAGGTTCCATCTCTGGTGGGGGAACAAAGATCCCACATGCCATAAGGCATGGACAAATAAATAAAGAAACAAAGAAGAAAAAAAAAATATCCAGGGTGGGAGGGAGGGAACATATGTACACATACAGCTGCTTCACTTCATTGTATGGCAGAAACTAACATAATATTGCAAAGCAACTATACTCCAATAAAAAAAGAAGGAAAAAAGTCCAGAAATCCCCACACGAGTGGCATGTCCCCACACTCAGGAGGCGGGGAAAGAGTCTCGGCAGGGACCTACCACTGCAAACTCATCTCTGTCCAGGTGCCCGTCCTTGTCGATGTCGCTCAGGTCCCAGACCTGCAAGGGAAGAGCAGCAAGGCTTAGTGGGGGACAGCACCTGGGCTTCTGGCAGGCAGGAAGGGCCTGTGTGGTCGCAGGCATGCCCACCAGAACTCACATTCTAACTGCACACCCGGGTTAAGACAAGGAAATCAAAGTGCATTTAAAAACCAGTCTTTAGGTTCTCTGAAAAGCCATCATCCGATGAAGCGTTGTCAATTCCAAGATCTTTTCCACCACATTTCCACCATTTTCACCAACAGATGACCATGATTATAATGATGTCTAATCTGGTTTTTAGTCTTTGGTTTTAGTACAGTTGCTGCTCTGAACACAAGCCTGCCCCCCTACGCATGTGCACACGCATGCACGCACGCACACAGATACCCACCCACCCACCCTATCCCCATCACGGCTGGGGAGGGCCATGGGCATGCACTTGAATAGGACTATGGGATCTTGCCTCCTCTCCCCTATCAGTGGATGGTGAGAAAGAGGCCACAAACTATGCCAGGTCAACCTAGCACCCAAAAAGACAAGGCAGGCACAGATCAAATGCCATGTGCTAGGTTTTCCAAAGTACAATCAAGGCATGAGCTTCCTGACCTAGGTGAGCCATCCAGGACCAGTAGGGAGGCCAACCTGACGCGGACACCAGTGCCCAGAGCCAGGCAAGGGGCCAGGGTCCATCCATGATGCTATGGATGCTAGTACCCGACCCCCAGTCAACCACTAGCTGCTTCAGCCCAGGGCTGCTCGTCATGTGTAGGCCCTCCTCTTTACCTCCTGCTGCTGTGTCCTTGGCCTGGGCCACTCCATCATTCCACAGACGCCAGAGCTTTAGCTGGCCACCCTGCTTCTAGTACTGTCCCCAGGGCAACCTCAGGACCTGCCCTAGAATGCACTCTCACCCCACTTCACCCCACCGACAGCATTCAGACCCTGCCCCTCTGCCTGGCACAGGGAGCCCTGTGCCCTGAGCTGGTCTCCATAACCCAGCCCATCCTCCTGGGACTCCACCTTGACCTCTAGGGACCTCAAACTGATCACAGTCACCTCAAGCACATGGATGCCCTTTTAAGTGTCTGGCACTGGGCTGAGTGCTTCACGTCCATGGTCTCAACTGAGGAAGTAGCAGCTCAGGAAGAGTAACATTCCCCAAAATACAGCACAGAGAGGTGTTCCTGGCTCCACAGTCTTACCCCACCCTGGCACCACTGACGTTTGGGGCCTGATCATCTCTGTGGAGGCCACCCTGTGCACGGTAGGATACCAAGCAGCATCCCTGGCCTCTGCCCACCTGCTATCAATAGCACACAACCCAGGTGGGACAACCAAGAATGTCTCCAGACACAGCTCAACACCCACTCGTGGGTGGAGCTGCCTGGTGAGAATGCCAGCCCTCCTTGGCATGCTGGGCGGCCTCTGCGCATGCCATCGTGCACCCGGCCTTCTCAACCCATCATCAGCCCCTGTTCCATCCCTCTGGAGGCTATAACCCACGGGCATCTCCTCTAGGCAGTCTTCCCTGCCTGCCCTGAACCTCTCCGCTCAGGGAGGTCAGGTACCTCCCCTTCTACTGTCCCCACCAAGCAGAACTGTGATTACCAAGGAGGCAATGGTGGGGCGCGGGAGCACCAAGGAAAAGTGAGGGCTGTGGGACCACCAGGACCTCATTCCCTTCTCCATGAAACCCTGTGCAAATGACTGCCCATTCCCAAGGCCCCCATTTTGTCATATGGAAAATGGAGGACCTCCCTGGCGGTACAGTGGTTAAGACTCTGTGCTCCCAGTGAAGGGGGTACTGGTTCGGGGCACTGGTTCAAGACCTGGTTAGGGAAGACCGCACATGCTGTATCTCAAAAAAAAAAAAGAAAGAAAACAAAAGTGACACCATCCATAATACCATCCATAACAAAGTAGTTACAAGTTACTCAGTGACTTCATTCCTGCAAAGCCCTAGAACAAGGTCTGGCACATACTAAGCCCTCGATAAATAAATACGAGGATCTTAACTATTACTTACTTATTTGACCTCCAGGACTGTATCTACTAATAATTCTATCCCCCTCTTCCCAGTGCTCAGCACAAGGCTGACCCAGAGCAGACTCCAAAAAAAGATTCCAAATGACTAAATGGATACCCAGTGTGTGGGTGCAGGGGGGCACAGATGAATGAGTGTGCAGAGATGTATGGATGGATGCCTGAGTGCACTGATGTGCGCATGCATAGATGGGTGGGTGTGTGGACGTGGAGGTGTGCACGCATGGATGGGTGGGTGTGTGGACGTGGAGGTGTGCATGCACAGGTAAACGGGTGCACATGTGGGTTGGTGTTTGGAAGGACGGAGAGAATGAGAGAAGAGCAGAGAAGTGACCCCGGTGGACAAAACCTGGTGCCAGGGTAGAAGATCTGCAGAACCCACCCTCCCAAGCTGCAGCTCCCCTTCTAATAAGGCACACCCCACTTCTGTGGTCTCCTTGCCTTGCGTGTGACTTGGCTCTACGACACTGTCATAGCCACTGTCAGGCACCGTGAAGAACTGCCACGAAAAGGCACATGCTGTGCAAGAGCAGGCCACCCCACCCTGCCTCATAAAGACCCCTGGGGGTCACCGTGGGTCCCCCTCACAGGCCTCCAGCTACACCACACCACGACCAAGAAGACACAGGGATCTGTGAGAGCCCCTTTCTTAGTTGCCTCATTTCCAAACAAAGTCCTATCTGGGTGCTATAAAAAGGGCCAGAATCTGCAAATGTGCAACTCAAACAGGGAGGTTACTAGGTGAATCCTAGTGGGTAGGAATCTGCCCCTTTCCCCATGGTTCTACCAAATGTCATGAGCTTGACCCACAGGTGTGGCCTAGGGCAGCAGGGACCTTGCTCTGTCCTCCTGCTCTAGGTCTGCACCTGTCACATCAGCAGTTCCATCCAGACAGAGGACAACATCCATCCCCCTCGATCCAGAGTGGCACAGAGACAGCCACTGCAGAACTCGGCTATGTGCATAGGGCAGACGTGAGGGGCCATAACCAAATCTCATCAGAAGGAAAACAGTCAGGTTTCGAGAGCTATATCTAAAAAAACTTGTAGGGACTTCCCTGGTGATCCAGTGGCTAAGATTCCGTGCTTCCACTGCAGAGGGCATAGGTTTGATTCCTGGTTGGGGGATGAAGATCCTGCATGCCGTGCAGTGCGGCCAAAAAATAAAATTTTAAATACTTGTGTTTAATAGGAACGAAACTGAGGCTTTAAAATAAAGGGGAGGGGGCGTGGAGAATGCATAAAATTTTATCTAAACTTGCAGCAGAATTGAAACTATCTTTACCTTAGGTTCACAGGGAGGGAAAAAAATTAAAAATAGAAAGGAAATACAGACATATATGACCATACTCTTCCCCTAGAAGTCTGGGTTCCAGTCCAGCTTGGCCTGTCCTCAGCCCTGGGCAGCGAGAGCACCTCTGAGTTCGCCATCCCATGCGTGCTGGGGAGCCTCTGTGAGCTGCACCCTGTGAGGCCCCGAGCCAGCCCAAATGCAGTGACTACTCCATCCGCGTCAGCTCCCGTGAAAACTGACGGCGCACAGCTGTGCTGTGAGGCCTTGAAGTGGCGCGGGAGGTGGCAGGGTGGCGTAGCCACCGGATTCAGCAGTGGAGTCCTGTGTGAGAGAGCCACTTACCCTGCCCAGGACGTCGAGAGGCAGCTTTGAGTTCATGAGGACTGGCTTGACTTTGTCTCCAGACAGCAAGCCACTGACAGGTGAGAGGCTTTCAAAAATTCCATCAAACTTTGCCTTTTCTTCTACCTAGTTGAAAAGAAACAGCCTGAGTGAGGGAAAAAGTATGAGTGTCCAAAATGAGCCCTGACCTTAAAGCTGACTGAAAGCGGACAAGGATCCAGCACTGGGCTAACCTGAGAGCATGGGCCAGTCTTCCTGCACTTCCAAAGTCAAGTCTAGGCAGAAGGATACAGTCCTCGAGTGACTACGGATAGGACGGCAAAGATCAACAGAGGAGAGAGGGGCCTAGCAGACTATAGTTCATGGAGTCACAAGAGTCGGACATGACTTAGTGACTAAACAACAACAAAAACAGCCCAAGGCAATCCAGAGATTCAATCCTTATCAAAATACCAATGGCATTTTTCATAGATGAGAACAAGTAATTTTAAAATTTGTATGGAAATGCAAAAGACCTCAAATAGCCAAAACAGTCTTGAGAAAAAAGGCAGAGCTGGAAATATCAAGCTCCCTAACTTCAGACTATACTACATAGCTACAGTAATCAAAACAGTATACTACTGGTTCAAAAACAGACACAAAGATAAAAGGAATACAACAGAGAGCCCCGAAGTAAAGCCATACACTTATGCTCAATTAGTCTAGGACAAATGAGGCAAAAACATACACTAGAGAAACGACAGTCCATTCAGTAAGTGGTGCTGGGGAAACTGGGCAGGTACATGTGAAAGAATGAAACCAGAACATTGTCTTACACCACATACAGAAATATGCATACAAAAAAAAAAGTGGATTAAAGACCTAAATGTAAGACCAGAAAACCCAAAACATAGGCACAACACTCTTTGATATAAATCATGGCAATACTTCTTTAGATCTGTCTCCTAAAGCAAACAAAAGCAAAAACAAAAACAAAGAAAGGGAACCTAATTAAAAGCTTTTGCACAGCACAGAAAACCATCAACACAACGAGAAGGCAGAGAGACGGCGGAGGAGCAGGTGGAAGTGGAGTACATCTCTCTCCACAGACGCATCAGGAGTGCATCTTCAGATGCAGAAGATCTTGCAGAGAACAGCTGAGTACAGGCAGGAGTCCCTGACCACCAGAAAGGACCACACAGACTCAAGACCCAGCACCTCCCAACTGCCGGTAGCGCCCAGCGCAGGACGCCACACCCAAATAAGGAGCAAGGTAAGAATACAAACCCAGTCATCAGCAGACAGGCTTCCCCCAGACACCCCAAAACACAGCCTGTCACCTGCTCCCACCAGAACACAAGCACAAGCCCCGCCCCGACACAAAGCCTACCCAGGCCAGCGGAAGAGCCTCACTCGCCAAGGGCAGAGACCAAAACCGAGAGGAACTGTGACCCTCTGAGCGCAGCAGAGGAGACCTCACACACAGTAAGCTAGACAAAGTGAAAAGATGAGCAACGCTGCGCAAACGAAGGAGTGAGGTAAAAACTCACAGGACCAAGTAAGAGGGAATAAGGTCCCGAAAAAGAATCCAGAGCAACGTTAGCAGAGACGGTCCAAAATCTCAAAGACAGAACAGGGGAGACGCAAGAGTCATTTAACACACTGAGCAAGGGCCTAGAGAGGTAAAGAGAAAACAAACAGTGACGAACAACACAACTACTGAAATTAAAAACACTCTAGAAGGAATCAATAGGAGAATAACTGAGGAGAAGAATGGTTACTGAGGTAGAAGACAGAATGGTGGAAATAACCACTATACAGCAGAATAAAGAAAAAAACAATGAAAAAAAAACTGAGGACAGTCTCAGAGACCTCTGAAACAATATCAAATGCACCAATATTCAAATTATAGAGGTCCTAGAAGAAGAAGAGAAAAAGAAAGTGTCAGAGAAAATTTTTGGAAAGATTATAGTTGAAAACTTCCCCAACATAGGAAAGGAATAGGAAAGTCCACCAAATCCAACAAACACAGAGAGTCCCATACAGGATAAACCAACGGAGAAATACACTGAGACATTTATTAATCAAACTAACAAAAATCAGACACAAAAGAAAAGTATGAAAAGCAGCAAGTAATATACTTGGTGCTTTGGGAAACCTCATATGATCAACAGCTGACCTTTAAGGAGAAACTCTGCAGGCCAGAAGGGAGTGGCGGGATACATTTTGGGTAATGAGAGGGAAAAATCTACAACCAGAATTACTCTACCCAGCAAGGATCTCATTGAAAACTGACAGAGAGATCAAAAGCTTCAATGCCAAGCAGAAGTAAAGGAATTCAGTAGCACCAAACAAGCCTTACAACAAACGCTAACGGGACTTCTATAAAACAGGAAACACAAGAGAAGGAAAAGACCTACAAAAACAAACCAAAACAATAAGATGCTAATAGGAACACATATATCAATAATTTCTTAAAATATAAACTGATTAAACACTCCAACCAAAGACACCAACTGGCTGAATGGATACAAAAACAAGACCCATATATATGCTGTCTACAAGACACGCTCTTCAGACCTAGAGACACATACAGACCGAAAATGAGAGGATCGGAAAAGATATTCCATGCAAGTGGAAATCAAAAGAAAGCCAGAGCAGTAATTCTCATTATCAGACAAAACAGACCTTAAAATAAACAATATTACAAGAGATAAGGACACTACATAATGATCATGGGATTGATCCAAAAAGAAGACCTAACATCTGTAAATATTGATGCAACCAACACAGGAGTGTGCTCAGTCGCTTCAGTCGTGTCCACCTCTCTGTGACCCCATGGACTGTAGCCCACCAGGATCCTCAGTCCATGGAATTCTCTAGGCAAGAATACTGCAGTGACTTGCCCTTTTCTTCTCCAGAGGATCCTCCTGATCCAGGGATCAAACCTACGTCTCCTGCATTGCAGGCAGATTCTCTACCACTGAGCCACCAGGGAAGCCAAATACATAAGGCAAACACTAACAGACATAAAAAGGGAAATCAACAGTAACACCATAATAGTGGCTGACTTTAACACCCCACTTACACCAATGGACAGATTATCCACAGAGAAAATTAATAAGAAAACACAACCCTTAAATGACACATTAGGCCAGATGGACCTAATTGATATCTTCAGGACATTTATCCAAACGCAGAATACACTTTCTTCTCAAATGCCACAAACAATATTCTCCAAGATCATATCTTGGGTCACAAATCAAGCCTTGGTAAATTTAAGAAAACTGAAGTTGTATCAAGAATCTTTTCTGTGACTACAACACTATGAGACTAAATATCAATTAGGGATATCTAGAGTCGGACAGGACTGAAGTGACTTAGCAGCAGCAGCACCAGGGGGCAAAAACATAAAAAACACAAACACGTGGAGATTAAGCAATATGCTTCTAAATAACCAACAGGTTATTGAAGAAGTCAAGGATAAAATTTTTAAAATACCTAAAAAAAAAGTGACAAAACACGATGACTCAAAACCTATGGGATGCAGCAAACGCAGCTCTACAGGGAAGTTTAGAGCAATACAATTCAACCTCAAGAAACAAGAAAAACATCAAATAGACAACATTCTCTTATACCTAAAGCAACTGGGAAAAGAACAAAAAAACCCCAAAGTTAGTAGAAGGAAATAAATCATAAAGATCAGAGCAGAAATAAATGAAAAAGAAATGGAGGAAACAATAGCAAAGATCAATAAAACTAAAAGCTGGTTCTTTGAGAAGATAAACAAAATTGACAAATTATCCAGAATCACCAAGAAAAAAAGGGGGAAGACTTAAAAATCAATAAAATTAGAGATGAAAGGTAGCCTATGAATGGGAGAAGAGATCTGGAAATGATTTACCTGATTAAGGGGTTAATATCTAAAAATATACAGAGAACTCATTCAACTCAGTATCAAAAACCAAACAACCTGATTAAACAATGGGCAGAGGACCTGAACAGACATGTTTCCAAAGAAGTATTACAGATGGCCAACAGACACGTGAAAAGATGCTCAATGTCATCATCAGGGAAATGCAAACCAAAACCACAGTGAGGTATCACTTCACACCTGTCAGAATGGCTTTTGACAAAAAGACAACAAATAACAAATGTTAGTGTGAGTGTAGGAAAAACCTTGTGCACTGTTGGCAGGATTATAAAATGGTCCAGCCACTATCGGGAACAGTATGGAAGTTCCTCAAAACGTTAAAAACAGAACAATCATACAATCCAGCAATTCCACTTCTGGGTCTTTTTCCAAAGAAAATAAAAACCCTAATTGGAAAAGACGTGATCCCTATGTCCACTACAGCATTATTTACAATAGCCAAGATATGGAAGCAACCCAAGTGTCCATCAATAGAAGATGGAAAAGAAAAATGTGGCAGAGGCTTCCCTGGGGGCTCAGTGGTAAAGAACCTGCTTGTCAAAGCAGGAGACACGGGTTTGATTTCCTTCCCTGCAGGAAGATCCCACACGCTGCAGAGCAACTAAGCCCATGCGCCACAACTGTTGTGCCTGTCTGTACTCTAGAGCCCAGGAGCCACAGCTACTGAGTCCTCAGGAGGCAGCGACAGGCCCGTGCGCCCTAGAGCTTGTGCCCTGCACGAGAAACGCCGCCACGGTGAGAAGCCTGCACACCGCAACTAGAGGAGCACCCGTGCAGCAACGAAGACCCAGCACAGTCAAAACTAAATACAATCATCTTTTTAAAGGATGTGCTGTGTATGTATGTATACACACACGCACACATACATACTTACACACAATGGAATCATTACTCATTTTAAAAAAAAAGAACTCGTGCCATTCATGACACCATGGATGGATCTAGAGGGTTTCAAGCCAGATGAAAGAAGACAGAAAAAAAGGAATACCGTATGATCTCACTTACATGTGGAATCTAAGAAACAAAACGAAAACTCTCCTAGACACAAAGAAGAAACAAGGTGGTTCCCAGAGGGGCGGGGGTGGCAGGCTGGGCAAATACCTGAAGGAAAGTAAAGGGTACACACTTCAAGGCACAAAACGAATAAGCCAGGGGATGCAACACACAGCATAAGGGATACAGTCAGTGACACTGTAGCAACTTTATATGTAGAAGATGCTTACTAGGCTTACCATGGTGATCATCTCATCAACATGTGCAAATGTCAAATCACTATGAACACTAACACTGAGACTGAAGCTAACATAATGCTGTACATCAACTATGTTTCAATTTAAAACACAGTTAAGACAGTGTGAACGGGGCTTCCCAGGTAACGCAATGGTAAAGGATCCACCTGCCAATGCAGGAGGCATAGGAGACTTGGGCTCCATCCCTGGGTCAGGAAGATCCTCTGGAGGAGGCAATGGCAACCCACTCCAGTATTCTTGACAGGATAATCCCGTGGACAGAGAAACCTGGAAGGTGACAGTCCATGGGGTCGCAAAAAGCACACATGCATGCAAGATAGTGAATGAGCGATGTGTATTTTAAAATTCAAAAGAAAGAAACTGAACTCAGAACACAAGCAGACACTGTGCACTCGAGTCGCTGTCAGCACCAAGAAGCCCACCTCCCTGCATCTGCCTGGGGTGTGGAATTCTCCACGGATCTGTCAGTCTTGCTGACTCTGGCTTCAGGAAGCCCAGGGACTTTCACAACAGAAAAGAACACTAACACTGGTCACTGATCTCTGAAGGGAATCGAAGCTCTCTGCCCCGTCACAGCACCATTCCTTCCCCAACTCCCCTCTTCAAGGCCTCACAGGCTCCTCGGCCACCAGCTCTTCTCTTGAGGACTCAACACAGCCCCTGCTGGAAAGGGGCTGAAACGGTTTGAGGAATAGTAAGAGCCATTTAGAACCGTCTTTCACAATGAAGCAGCTGCTTTTCAAAGTAGATGCCATGCAACTGGACTACAGAGAAAGAAATCCTTCGGTACTATGATCACGGCTGGCAAAGCGCCTGATTTATCACAAAGGCAACTCCTTGCCCCTGGGTCAGCTGAGGCCTCCCCGCCCTGTCCCTGCACAGACTTCTCCCCAGGGTTCCCTTCTTGAACCCTTCCAACCCTATAAAAAAGGACAAAAAACCAGCTGGGGCTGGGAGGTGTCTCTTTTTTTCAAATTTACTTTTAATTGGAGGATAACTGCTTTACAAATGTGGTACTGGTTTCTTCCGCACCACGACAGGAATCAGCCACAAGTACACATGTATCCCCTCCCTCTGAGGCCTCCCCCGCCCCACCCCCAGTCCCAGCCCTCTAGGCATCACAGCGCAGAGCTGAGCTCCGTGCTGGACACAGTTCCCCACGAGCTGTCTGTCTTACACACGGTGGTGTACATATGCCAGTGCTACTCCCCCAATTCATCCCACCCCCGCTTTGCTTCGCTGTGGCCACAGGTCCGCTCTCCATGTCTGTGTCTCTACCCCTGCCCTGCAAATCAGCACCATTTTTCTAGATCCCGTACATATGCATTAATACATGGTATCTGTTTTTCTCTTTCTGACTTACTTCACTCTGTATAACAGGTTCTAGGTTCATCCACCTCACTTCAACTGAAGAGGGGTGTCTACTTGATAGCAGGACTGCTATTAATACAGGTATTTAAGTCAAATAAAACTGAGGCAATGTAATAACCGTGAGTGGGGAGGAAGTCTCATTGGGAGACCATCTCTGAGACCATCTCTGTGACTCATACACAAATTGCCTTCAGGAGTAATTCTGCACTTATTAAGAGACACATCATTCATTTCTTTTCTTTCTAGAAGCAGTAACACAGCTCTGTGGCCTCAACATCCTGTCTTTAAAAGAAGACTTTCAGTGGTGAGCATTTTTCAAAAAGCAATGACAGCAACAGAGAGGAAAGAACTGTAAAGCATAAACTTGCTGGAAATAAGGGAGAAAGCTATGAAGACATTCTGGAAGTCTTCACGCTTGAAAGCTCACAATTTCTCCTTCTATCCTGATTAACCTACCCAGGCAGCAAAATCATAGAACATGCCCTAGAAGTACAAGGTATCCACTGTGAAATTTTCATAATGCAACATCTGCCTGCCTTAGTAGGCAACAATACCCAATTACAGGAGAAGGTGACGGTTTTTGCAAAAGACTCTAATTTGGAGAAGTATTTCATCCAAATTCTGTGGCACAGTCACTCTGAAACAAAGTGGATGGTACAATCATCCTATGAAACGTGCTGAGCGTCATAAAAGACCAGCAGAAATGCATGTGAGAGACAGCTGAGGGGCGCCTGGCCCGGGCACTCACCCGCACAGCCCAGTGGGCCTCTGCAGAAGGCGGCGTGGCCATCAGAGGGCTGCTGCTGTCGTGCTGAGGAGAGAGAGACATTCCGCTGTAGCTGGCCCCGAATTCTACTACAGGGGCACATGTTCATGGTAAGGGCATCCATTTCAAAGCGCTTTCAAAGGGGAGGAAGAGCTCAGCAAGTCAAATACAGGATTACCACATCACTCAGCGATTCTCCGCCTAGGTAGAGACCCCAGAGAACTGAAAACAGGTGTGCAAACAATTCCCTGTACATGAACTATTATGCCCGCCAACAGACGAAAAGATCAACAAAATGAGGCAGACCACAGAATGCAATCTTATTCAGTCACGAAGAGGCATGAAGTACTGACACATGCTACAAAGTGGATGAACCTTGAAAACATGCTGAGTGAAAGAAACACGATGTATGCCTCTATAAAATGCACAGAGATAGAAAGCAGATCAGTGGCTGCCAAGGGCTGGGTGCCGGGTCGGGGGCAGGCAGAGTCAAGAATGATTACTTCATGGGTACACGGTTTTCTCTGGGGACTGTGACAATATTCTAGAACAGACAGGTGACAGTTACACAATGCTGTGAATGCACTGAACAGCCCAATGGTTCATTTTTTAAATCGATTTTAGATTACGGGAATCTCCCCGCCATTAAAAGAAAATTAGAGAGAGAAAAAACATGGAGCGAGAGAGACAGACAGACAGAGCAGAGAAGCACGGAGGCTTCCGACACTTACGAATTTAGGCGGCGGCATGTTCAAGCTCAGATTGCTCAAGGTGACTTCGTGGCCGCTCTGCGCACAGGCCACCAGCCTCAGCGCAACATAGAAACCCTGCAATCCAAGAGGGGCAGGCGTAAACCCCACCCAGCGGGCGGCGGCGGACGAGCTGTCTGCAGTCAGGGGCTTGGGGGCCGAGGGGTTTCATTTCGCTTCAGCAGGGGAGCCCGCACATGCTCAAGTCTCTTAAAGACTCAGGCAAAGCAGGTCTCACCCTGGGAACACTGCTTAAGTCAATGTGCTGAAACAGACTTAGCCCATTGCTTTCTGAACGCTATAAAATCTCAAACAGCTGTATTTTCAGAAACAATGAGCTCTCAACATTTAAGAAATGCTAGAGTGTACAGTTTTAAGTCTAAAGGGTGGTTCAACTACGCACTGACTTTTTAGAAATGGTTTGGAATAGACACAGCTGTTTGGGGCCTGACACGGCTCAGTGGCTCCCCCTGGCCTCGCTGAACAGAGCATCCCCCCACACCCCCGGCTCCTCAATGGCTAGGCGTGGACTTCCTATCCCACACAAGGATCAAGGACCTGAACTAGGGGCCTTGCCTCCTCCTCACCCTCCTCTGAAGCAAAGACCGATCATGCCACAGGCTTAGGGGACTTGTGCAGGATCACCTAGTTTTTCTAAATTGATCAACAGGCCTAAGAACATGGATTCTTTTTAAAGCTATAAACACAATTATGGTTTTAAAATCTCCTCCACAGAAATGTGAGCACTAGAATAGCCTGTCTCAGGCTGATGTCTACAGAATGTCCGTGTAGCATGCAGAGAAATGGGGACATCAGTAAAGTTAGAAGAACTGCACTCAGCAAAGATAACAGGGTTCTTGGGGCTTCCTTGGTGGTCCAGTGGTTAAGACTCCACACCCCCAATGCAGGGCGCAGGGGTCTGATCACTGGTCAGGGAACTGAGATCCCACATGCCACGTGCTGCGGCCAAAAAATTTTTTAAAAGAGAAATAAAATAGGGTTCTCTCCCACAAAGGTCCTCTGAACCCTCAACACACAAACGTGCGCTATGAATCTCAAGCAAGGGAGGAGGAGCGCATGGTGCTGATTCCACAGGTCGGATCATGGACAGTGAGACACCAGGAACCACACCCCTTGGAATAGAGTTTGGGGAAAGACTGAACTAAATTAAAATATGACCAGTTAAAAATCATAAGTACTAGCTTCCCAGGTGGCACAGTGGTGAAGAATCCAACTGCCAATGCACAAAAAATCTAAAGCACTATAACATTCCACTTACGGAATATTCTCAAAATGATGGGATTACATCACAGAAGGAACCAGTGGTTGCCAGGGCTCAGGGTGTGACGCCCAATGGGCAGCTTGAGGGGGACTTTTCGGGGGCAGTGAGAATGTCCTAATCCTGACAGTGGCCGTGGTTACCTGAATCTATGCGAGTGATGCAATCACACAGAATTCTATACACCAGGGACAACACCAGACTAAAGCGCCTATGCACGTGGTCAGCTCTGGGTGAGGCCCCTGGTCTAGTGCCGCGCGGGACCTGAGCACCGTGCTTTGGGGAGACAGGGAAAGCACACACGGGAACAATCTCAACTCTTTTCTGCAACGTCCCGGAGAGTCTGAACTTACAGAATGTTGGGAAAACATTTGAGTCACTTGTAACCACACAAAATATTAAAAAGATTACGCTAACCAGGAAACATGGCTCCAAGAGCTCAAGAGGCCTTTATTTTTAAATGAAATCTTGCACTTTGATGGTCTGGTGGCCCCACTGATGTCTGGTGACACCCGTCGGTGGTGACAAGAGGGAAGAAGTGAGGGGCGACCCTGCCTGGGGGCTCCGGCCCCGCCCCTCCACTTACTGTGTGTACGTGTATGTACCTGTTTGTCCAAGTACCCTTTACCTTCTGGGTCGGCCAAGTCCCATATCTGTGGAAACAAAAGTGCTCGTGAGTGTGGCCGCCGATCACTTCCTCACCAAACAGGAGCCACCGTCGCCGCTCACCTATACCTGTGAGCCTTATGTACAGGTCCCAGCAGGCAGACCCAGACGAGGCGAGTGGCCAGGACCCTGCCCTCTGCCCAGCGAGGCACACAGCAGGCAGCAGCACAGTCCAGAGAACTCAGAAGTGTACTAGGCTCCAAGGCCAGCATAAAGCCACAGCTAAGACCCCAAGATGGCTCAGGCCTCTTGTCCGCTACCCACGCAAAGGGGGGCAGCAACCATTAGAGCATGTGCATCCACCAGTTATAGCCCCGAGAGGTTCGCAGTGGCCAGCCTGCTTCCCAAGAGGAGTACAGACCCCATGAAGAGGGGTCTGCACAGGCTGGTCTCCACCTGCCAGGGGAGCCCTGAGGGTGTTTGCAGAAGAGAAATCGCTATCATTCATCACATACCTTCCCAAGGATAATGTCTGAGAGCCCAGACTTCTTTAGAAAAAGTGCAGCTTCACTCGCCCCAACTCGCCCTGTGTATGCTGGGTCTACCTGGAATTGGGGAGCAACACGTGAGATAAGTCTTTGGCAGCTGAGCAGCAGGTAAAGCAACACCCGTGACACTGGCTGCTGGCTGACAGCTGGGAAACAGAAAGGGAGGGGAGGCCTCTCTGAGTTGCAATTCACAGCTGGGAGTTTCCAAGTCACTCCCTCTCTAAGCTCAATCCAGAAAGACACTAGTGAAAACTTACCTGCTTGTAGTAAGACTCATATAATGGATTTCCGGTGGGAATCTGTAAACAAAACCACAGACATTGGTCAAACATGGACACAAAGCCTCTCTAAAAAAAGTGTCATCCCCTCAATCTGTCATCAGCAAAATACATAAATATCAAAATCAAAATGTAGGCACTTTAAACGTCCTCTCTACACAGACTCCCTGGAGAAGGAAATGGCAACCCACTCCAGTATTCTTGCCTGGGAAATCTCATGGACAGAGCAGCCTGTCAGGCTCCAGTCCAAGGGGTCGCAAGGAGTCAGACACGACTGAGTGACTTAACAGCAAAAAACAGAGACTGCAGTTTATTCTCAGACAGACATCTCACACTTCCTCAGTTTAGAAAAAGGAAACGCTAATGCTCTCAAATAAGTCCTGATTCCAACACAAACCACGAGGTTGTTCAGGAGGAGTGGCAGCCCGGGCTGGTTTCCACTCACTGACGGATGGGATTTTGGTGCGTCCGGGAGCTCACAGGAACAGACTACATTATCCTTTGAGACTGTGCTCTGGCTCCAGAACCGGAACAGGAGTCTCCACAAGTCACCATGAATCACCAGTCACACCAGCTTCAGACTGGTTTCCCTGCTCCAAGGCTTATCCCCACCCATCTGGTCCTCCTCCAGTCACCCACCCGAAGGACTGGGCAAAAAGGCGCTGACCAGCCCCAAGCGCCAGGAAAGACTCGGCCGGTGACAGCTCCCACTAGGACAGGCAGGAAGTTCAAAGTCCTCAGCTTGGCACGGTAGACACTGCACGTTCCGGCCACCACATTTCCTAAGATGCTGCTGTTCAGAGAAGATAACCACCTGATCTACAGTCAAGAGGCTAATTGAGACACGCCTGGATTCAGCTTGGTGGTGGCGAAACCCTCACACATCCAACAGCCTCTGTGGGGTCTTCCCAACCTCAACAAGCCGCCCCCCAGTGGCGAGGAGAAGATCCGCAGCAGTATGCCAGCAGGGGCAGGAATTCAGCACCCCTAGAGTTGGACTGTGAAGAAAGCTGAGTGCCGAAGAATTGATGCTTTTGAACTATGGTGTTGGAGAAGACTCTTGAGAGCCCCTTGGACTGCAAGGAGATCCAACCAGTCCATCCTAAAGGAGATCAGTCCTGGGTGTTCACTGGAAGGACTGATGCTGAAGCTGAAACTCCAGTACTTTGGCCACCTCATGTGAAGAGCTGACTCATTGGAAAAGACCCTGATGCTGGGAGGGATTGGGGGCAGGAGGAGAAGGGGACGACAGAGGACGAGATGGCTGGATGGCATCACCGACTTGATGGGCATGGGTTTGGGTAGACTCTGGGAGTTGGTGATGGACAGGGAGGCCTGGCGTGCTGCGATTCATGAGGTCGCAAAGAGTTGGACACAAATGAGCAACTGAATTGAACTGAACTGAAGGTGTTTTATTGCGTGAAAGGAAAAAAGGAATTCAGCACCTCTAAGGTCTTTTATTGAGTGAAAGGAAAAAAGCAGGACATGGCAAAGGTGCTGCCGATTCAGGGAGCTGAGAAAAGCGAGGAAGACAACATCGTGCTTAATCGTATGGAAGGACAGGTGTGTAAACAGCTAAAGAGAAGAATGCCTGGAGAAATGAGTACCGGATGACAGCTGGGATGACAGTGTTCATTTTAAAAGTCTTCAAATACTGTTGTGCAATTTTTCATAATGAATAAAACAGGGGAGGTGGGTTCCTTTCAGCTACAATCACTGACTTGAACCAGCTCAACACTTGCATGCTACTGTGTGGTAAAAAATCACTTCAGTTTAAAAATAATGGCCAGATTACGGTCAGCTTCTCCGGGGGATGGCAACACCTGCAAACACAGGAAGAAGTGAAAGTACAAGACAGCGGCAATAGAGAATGAAAATAGAAGAAAAGGAGTATAAAGCCCAGCGAGGGAGGCAGAGAAAAGTCAAAACAAAAGAAAGAGGGGAAGTCCTGAAAAGACAGAAACAGAGAGGCAGAGCAATATGAAAAAGCAAGACACGGGCCTTCCTTGGTGGTCCAGTGGCTAACACTCCAAGGCAGAAGCCCACGGTTCAATTCCTGGTCAGGGCACCATTCCCCGCATGTCGTAACTAAGACTTCCCTCAAGCTGCACCTAAGACCCGCTGCAGCCAAAATGAATAAATAAATATTTTTAAAATACACTACTGTGATAGATAGCATTAAAAAAAAAAAAGCAAGAAGGGAAGGTAAAGGCCGAAGCTTGAGAAAGAAAAGACGAGGACACCAGTGAGGAGGAGCGAGAGTGAAGCGGGGACTTCCCTGACAGTCCAGCGATTAGGGCTGGCTGCTTTCACTGCCATGGGCCCAGGTTCAAGCTCTGGTCAGGGAATTAAGATTCGGCAAGCAGTGTGGCACGGCCAAAAGAAAAAAACACTAAGTGTACAGCAGCTACGGCAACTCCCTGGCCATAGCTCCCTGGCAGCTTCCTCCCGCCCCGGGCCCTTGCAGATACCATTCTGGGGGAGGCTGTCCCCTTAGCTTCTTATGACTTAAGACAGTAGTGACCACCATCACACCCTGTTTGATTGTCAGAATTTAAAATTCCACGTGAAATCATAGAATTCAACAGCAAAAAACCAAACAACCCACTATGACCTGAAGTCTTCATATGCCTATGAAGAAATAGGCAGAGGATCTGAACAGACATTCTTCTAAAGAAAACATGCTGATCCAAAGGAAATGAAAACACCAACTCAAAGGAAAACAAACAAACAAATACCTCCATGCTCATTGCGGGATTATTTACAATAGCCAAGACCTGGAAGCAACCTAAATATCTACTCATTGATGGATGAATGCACACAGAGAGAGGAATACTGCTCAGTCCTTAAAGAAGAAGAACTTGCCATTTGTGACAATGAACCCTGAGGGCACTATGCTGAGTGAAGTAAGTTACACAGGGAAAGACGATCTCACTTGTATGTGGAATCTAAAAAACAAAAAACCAAACCCACAGATACAGAGAACAGACAGGTGGTTGCCAGGGGTGGGAATAGGGGGTGGGTAAAATGGGTAAAGGTGGTCAAAGGTACAAACTTCTGGCTATAAAATAAGTTAGTTAATAATATTGTATTGTATACTGAAAGTTACTAAGAGGACATCTTAAAAGTTCTCATCACAAGAAAAGAAATGTTATAACTATGTGTGGTGATGGATATAAGTATTGTGATCATTTCACAACATGAACAACAAATAAATAACAAATCATCACGTTGTACAAGTGAGACTAACAATGTTATATAGGTCAACTATAATCTCAATTTATAATAATTAACTAATTAAAGGTCTACATGCTCTCAAAACACATCACCCTGGAGGAACACGGCCAAGAGAGGAAGCAGTCAGGCCGGCTGTTTGTCACCTCTCAGTAAAGGTGGTGGTGCTGGGTCCCAACAGCACATCATGTACTCGTAGTGCATGGGAACAGAATTCAAGACCACAGGGACCCCCTCCCCCAACCTGGACAAAGGTGCCCTTGTTGCCAGCAATCAGAGAGGCATGGCTCTGAAACAAATTTCCAGTGGTATTTTTTTTTTTTAAGATCTCATGTTAGGCAAGAGAGAGGGTTCTAAGCTACTGTGATTCCAATGAAAAACAGAGTTATGGTATTTGGAGCACCGAGGGTTAATAACTGTCTCAAACTTCCCAAAGATCCCCTGGAGAAGGAAATGGCAACCTACTCCAGTACTCTTGTCTGGAAAATTCCATGGACAGAGGAGTCTGATAGGCTCCAGTCCATGGGGTCACAGAGAGTCGGACACAACTGAGTGACTTCACTTCTACTTCTTCAAACTTCCCAAATGCTTCCGAATCAGATCCACGATCAGGAGAAACAAGACCTCAAATAGTTCAGAAAAGGCCCTGAAGCCCCAGGCCCCAAAGCCTGGACTGTCAGTGCTAAGAGCTCCTCTCATAGGCAATCTGTAGTCAGAGGTCGATCCCAGATGACCCACAGCTAATGGAAAACCACAGAGTATGCCTCACTCATTCCTCACTAAATACAGGGATCAGTCTGGGTAACCGGGGACAATGACAGCAGGTAAGAGGCTCTGATTTAATTACACACACGTCAGCCACTACATAAGCAGACATGGGCGGGGAAGGGGAAACATCGGTAGATCTAATTGGCACTTCCTCTTACCACACAACGTCCCCCCCGGGACAGTGGAGTCATGCCTGCCAGCTGCCCCATACACGACTGCAACAAAACTGAAGACAAACGCTGCTCAGGCCTCGAGCCCCTGGATGACAGGCAGGGACCTGGGACATAAGCAGCTCACTGCTGCGGGCAGCCACTCTGCTAGGACAGAGGCCCAAGTGCTGAGAGTGGGCACCAGAGCTGCCCACCTCTGTCCAACCCCGAAGTGAGGCCAGGGCAAAGGCAGAAAGGGAACAGGCCAGGGGACAAGGCCTTCAGTGTTCAGAGGCTGCGGACAGCTCAGAGACGGCTTCAAGAATGGAAGTCAGACAGAGCCTGCGCAGGAGGGCGTTCTCCTCCACCAGACCAGGGTGCTAAGGGGCCACTGTTGACTCTGCATCATTCACTGACATTCAGTACGACTTTCACTTTGGGGACTTTCCTGTAGGTCCAGTGGCAAAGACTCTGCGCTCCCAATGCAGGGGTCCTGGGTTCAAACCCCGGTCAGGGAACTAGATCCCGCATACCACAACTAAGACCTGGCACACCCCAATAAATAAAAACCCCTGAATCTGATCTTTCAGCTGGTCTCCTAAAACACTAAGAGAAGTTTCCAGGGCCTCTTCACTCTATCCTCCAGCCCAGAAGTGAAGGTCGCTCAGTCGTGTCTGACTCTGCAACCATGGACTATACAGTCCGTGGGATTCTCCAGGCCAGAATACTGGAGTGGGTAGCCTTTCCCTTCTCCAGGGGATCTTCCCAACCCAGGGATCGAACCCAGGTCTCCTGCATTGCAGGAGGATTCTTTACCATCTGAGCCACAGGGGAAGCCCAAGAGGCAATGTACAGATGGGGAGACAGACA